CAAATGAACACTGGAATTTAAGTTCCTAGGTTGTCCTAGTTTGCTTTCTGTTGCTGTGATAAAACACTGACCAAAACCAGCTCAACAGAGGAAAGGGTTATTTCAGCTTACAAGTTACAATCCATACAGGAACCTGGAGAAAGGAACTGAAGCATGACAAGGAGGAGCACTGCTTCCTGTCTTGCTCCCTGATATGCTCAGCTATCATCCTATACAGCTCAGGCCCACCTGACTGTGGATGATACCTCCTATAGTACACTGGGCCCTCCTACATCAATCAGCAATCAAGAAAATGCCCCACAGACATGCCCACAGGCTAATCTGATGGAAGAAATTCCTCATGTGAGATTCCCTCTTCCTAGGTGTGTCAGGTTGACAAATGAAATGACATAGGGTCTCACCATACACAACAACAGCTAAACCATAACCAAGTCTTGGAGTAAAGACAAGACAGTTAGGGTAGTGACCATAAAAGAAGACATGCTGGGTCTGCACAGAGTCTTTGATGTGAAGGAAAGAGATACACCCAAAGAGGGTGTGGTTAGAGAAGCTAGCATTGGACTGACCCAGCTTCCCAGCTCCACTGCTCAGTGACAGTTAAGTCCTGAGTGCAGTGTGTGGCCTTCGGCCCCTCTCCTACCCTCCAAATTTAAAGGCCTTGTTTGCCCTGCTGGCAGATGTTATAAAGCAGAAAAAAGGAAGATCGAGGGCAACTTTCAGGGACAAGGATGAGAAACTGTTCTCTAAAGAGGAATGGGCAGGGAAGTCTGTAGGGCTGTCCATAGAACTCACCTCTGAGGAGCCTGCAAGGTGAGGGAGGCTGGGTCTCTCAAACCGTCTTTGTATTGGGGTCTCTGTTGTGTGCTAGTGATAGGTTTCTGTTTCAGTGAAAGATGAGTCAGAGACGTTCCCTGTAAGGTTTTTAAAAATACTTATTATTTTTATTTTACGTGTATGATTGTATTACCTGCATGTATGTAAGTGCACCCATGTCATGCAGTGCCCATGGAGGTCAGAAGGTGGCATTGGATTTCCCTGGAACTGGAGTTACAGATGGTTGTTAGCCACCATGTGGATGCTGGGAATCGAACCCGGGTCCTCTGCAAGAGCAGTCAGTGCTCTTAACCACTGAGCCATCTCTCCAGCCCCGACTTTCCCTGTAAAGAAAGCTATTGTATACATTACTGTACAAGTTTCTGTGAAGATCTGTCATCATTTCTCTTGGGAAGCTGCTTAGGAGAGTGCTTGCTGAATTGTATGGCAAGCGTATGCTTTACCTCCATAGAAACTGCTAACCTGTTTTTGAAGTACTGTTTTAGACACCAACCAAAAATGTGCATTGGTTCTAGTTTCTCTGCATTCTCACCTTCCCTTTGTAGTGTCAATTTTTTAAAATTGTGTGTTGTATACATGTGTGTACACGTGTGCAGATGTGCTCACTTGTGCATGCAGGTATGGAGGCTAGAGATTGACATGGGGTGTCTTCCTCTATTGTTCTTGTCTTTTTTTTTTTTTTCCCCTCACACTGAACCCGCAGCTCACTGTTTTGCCTAGACTGGCTGACCAGCTAGGCCCTGGGATCTGCCTGTCTCCGCTTCTTTGCACTGGTGTTATAGATGTGTGCTGTTATGCATGGCTTTTTATGTGAGTGCTGGGGAAGACATCTCCCTAACCTATCGGTGGTGGTGGTGGTGATGGTGATGTATGTTTGTGGATACGTGTGTGTGAGCACATGCACATTTGTGTGTGTGAATGTGGATGTTTGTGTGCCATGGCACACAGCTGGAGGTCAGAGGACAATCTCTGGTGTTGATCCTCACCTTCAGCCTTGTTTGAAACAGTCTCTTTGTTGGTTTTCTGGTGCATAGGCCAGTGTTGCTGACTTGAGAATTTCCAGGAGGTGTCTGCCTCATCTCTACTTAAGTATGCATTCAGGTCTTCGCTCATTTTTAATTTGTATTTTAATTTTTTGATTTATTTCTATTTTATGTCTATGAGTGTTTTGCCTGTATGCATGTAGGTGTACCTGTGTCATACAATGCCTGGCTAAGGCCAGAAGAGGGTGACAGATCCCCCTGGAACTGGAGTTAAAGATGTGTGCTAATTGTCATGTGGGTGCTGGGATGAACCCCGATCCGCTGCAAGAGCAGCCAGTGCTCTTAACAACTGGGCCATAGCTCCAGCCTCTTTTGGGAATCCTACATTGGACTCTTATTATTGACTTTTGAGTGTTGTATATGTGGAAAATACCAGCCCTTTTCCACATGCGTTATGAAAATGTTTTCTCTTGGTCTGACATGTCCTCATTTTCTTAAAATCCTTTGGAAGAGCAGGAATTTAAATTTTGATGAAATTAAATTTGTCAGCTTTTTCTTCTGCAGTTTGAACAAAAAGCCACTTTTTTCTTAACCCAGGGTCACACAGATTCACTCCTGTGATTTTTTTTCTGGACGTTTATAGTAGTGTTAACTTTTTCGTTTCTGACTTAGGTGACCTAGTCCACGTTAGCTTTTTCATGTGCTGTGAGGGTCATTTTTTGTAAATGGATGATTTTTGACTTCTCTCCATTGAATTTTCTTAGCACCTTTGTTGAAAATCAGTTGGCACGTATGGATCATGTATTCTTGAAGTGACAGTTGAAAGAGTTCATGTCATGTAGAAGGAAATACAAAGTGAAGATAGGTTTGCATTTGCTCTGTAAGCCTTGCTGTCAGTTAAGAATCATTTGTAATTAAACCCCTGTCCCCAAATGAACTGACATTTTGGTTTTTTAATGGACAAATAAGGAATCCAGAGTTATATGCTGTTCTTCTAGTGTCTAAGCCAGAAAAAGGAAAAGGCTGCCTATCTGGAGTTCTGTGCTGTCCAGTGTGATATTCACTAGCTACATTTAACTCACTTCCTTGGTCTTCCTAACCACATTGTAAGTTCACAAAGCCACATGTGGCTAGTGGTTACCACATTGGACAGCACAGATAGAAAATGTTTCCCTTCTTGGGGTGTATTACACATGTCTGTAATAACAAGCCAGGGGAGACTGAGCAGGAAGACTACAAGTTTAAGGCAAGTATGTTGAGTTTCAGGATAGCCTGGGCTACATGGTGAGACCCTTTTTTAAAAAGTTAGCTGGGTGTGGTGGTGATCTCTGTGAGACTGAGGCAAGTAGATCTCTGAGATGGTGAGTTCCAGGTTGGGCTCAGGGAGACCCTATCCCAACCCCCCCCCAAAGTTAAAAATAAACTCTAGGGACTAGAGAGATGATTCAGTGGTTATGAGCACTTGTTGCTCTTGCAAAGAGCCTGGGTTTGGTTCCCAGCACCCACATGGCAGCTCATAACTGTCTATAACCCCAGTTCAGGAGATCTGATGCCCTCTTCTGGCCTCTGAGGACAGGAAACACATATGGTGCTCCTACATATATACAGATAAAACATTCATACACATAAAATAAAAATAAAAACTGAGGGTAATGGTGCATGCCTTTAATCCTAGCACTTGGGAAGCAGGTGGATCTCTGTGAGATCAAGGCCAACCTGTTCTACATAGCAAGTCCAGGCCAGCTGTGACTACAGGGAGACCCTGTCTCAAAAAAGAAAACAAACAAACATAAATAATAAATAAATAAATAAATAAATAAATAAATAAATAAATAAAAATGAAATGTTACTTTCATAACAGAAAGTTCTGTTGGATAGCATTGATGAAGGAAAATTTAAAAATTGCTCCTGACTTTCCAAAACCTTCTGTCCTTTAGTGACAGGGTAAGCCGCTTTTTCTGGCTTCTTGTGTGTTATTCTGAGGTTTCTTCATTCTATTTTTTAGCCATTAGTCTAAAAAAAAAATATGAGCTGTCATTGACAGGTAAACATCCTTAACCAAGTCTGCTGTACTCATCTTCTAGGGACCCAAATTCACCTTCATTTTTCTCTCACTGGTCTTGTCTCCTGCTCCTGGCGCTTTTGAATATTTCATTCCTGATTGTCCTTTGGTCTGCAGGACACTGGGGCACCTCTCCCTTCTCCTATCTCTTCTCTACCCTCCTCCCTTTCACAGAAACCCATCCTTAGCCTTGTTTTTTGACTCCCTGGATGCTGAAGGCCAACGGCTCACACCAGCTCAGGCCTCTAACCCCAGTTCCTAGAGAACATATCTGACTGGCCCATGTACATCCAGGCTCCATGTGTCCAAAATGAATCCACTCTCCCCTTCTCTTGCAAACCTGCCTCCACCCTACCCTACCTCACTGTGGGTCATTGCTATCCACCATGCCTCAGCTAGCCACTTGGAAACCCCTGGTCATCCACACCAGTTAATGAGTTCCTGTGTTTTCTGCCACCTAATAACTTCTCAACTTGAGTTTCTGTTTATTCCTCATGCCCTGTTTTGAAGCCTTCCACATTTCCAAGCATCGTCACAATAGTACAAAGTCCTTTCAACTTATCTTTCTAACTGCTGAGTAGTAACCTTTCAAAAATTAGAGCCGATCATTTTATTTCCCTAATTTAAAAAATCTCCCTTAAATAACACATTACTTTGGACGTAATGCAAACATACTGTGGTTATCTCAAAGTCTACCCCTTTTCCCCTCTTCTGCTTGGATTCCTGTCCAGTCATGTCCAGCCACATAGATGCCTAGCGTTCTCAGAGCACTCCATGCCCTTCTCTCCCACCTCCACACCTCTACCTTTGTGTTCTCCCTAGCCACAGCCCACTGTTTCCCTCCTGGTCTGGCCATCAGGAATCCATGCAGGCTCCTCTCATCTGGGAACAGTGTTTGAAATCTCCTCCTTCCCTTCCCCAAGCCCTCTTCTGCGCCTTTCCGACTTTCCCTGCATTTTCAGTAATCTGTGCTTTTCTACTACTATAGATATTTCCCCATATTATAATCACGCAAGAGGTATTCACCACTAATTAGTGATATAATCTAACAAGTTTCACACTTGAAATTTGCATTCACAGGCCAATGAGCCATAATAGTAAGCTTCTCTGTTTTCTTATAGGTGAAGATGTTGGAGGCAGATCTGGTGTCAAAGATGCTACGGGCTGTTCTGCAGTCTCATAAGAATGGGATAGCATTACCCCGGCTCCAAGGAGAGTACCGGTCCTTGACTGGAGACTGGATCCCCTTCAAGCAGCTCGGTTACCCTACTCTAGAAGCCTACCTGAAAAGTGTGCCAGCAGTTGTCAGGATAGAGGGTAGTAGATCTGGAGAGGTAAGAGGGTGGTTGTCAGATTTACACTGATTTGAAGTCACCTGCCTGGTGCTTCTAATCTCATTCCTACAGTAGAAACAAAAGCACTAGCTGAGAGGTTTCAATCCGTAGTGATGGAGCGTGCCCAAGGCATGGCCTAGTGGCTTAGATGGGTAGTGAGAGAGTGCCCAAGGCATGGCCCAAGTTCTAATATCTTGAATTATTAAAGTCTTCTACTTGTAAAAATGAGATTTTAAACACACTAAAAGTTTAATTCTGAGCTCTAGACAGAGGAGCTACAGCGGAGTCCTAAACAACCACATCTGCTCATTTAAACCTGCTGAAACTGCTTTAATTTTTTTAATTGCATTTTAGAATTTATTTATTGGGTATGTGCATAGTCAGGTGTGTATACATGCACATGCCACAGCACACATGTGGAGTCAGAGGACAACTTGAAGGAGTTGGTGTCTCCTTCCACCAAATGGCACTTAGGGGTCAAACTTGGGTTGTCAGGCTTGGCAGCCAGTGCCTTTGCCCACTGAGCCCTGTTTTGCTAAGCTCACCAGTGACCTCAGTACTAGAACTGATGGGCAGTTTTAAGTTCTCATCATTGACCATACCCATGCCAGTTCCTGCTATCTGGACCTAGCTTGTTCCCTAGTTGGTCAGTTGTCACTTTATTCTGCCAACAGCCTCCCTGTGAACTCCCCGTTTCAGTTCTTCCTTTCCTAGCCTGCTCCTCCTCCATAAGGATGATTGAGTAGTGTCTTAATCTACCTCTCTGCTCTTGAGGAGGATGGTCTCAACTGTGGTGCAGGGACAGCAGCTTCATCTTTGCTTGCACTCTCACTGGATCAAGTAGTTTCACTTATTGCTTCCTGCCCATTGCACAGTATGACAGAAACAGTCAAACAAGAAACTCCTACCCTCCCTCCCCCAAACACTGTAGGTTTCAGGATGCCTTTCTCCCACAACCCCATGTTTGTTTCTCTCATTGTGAGGAGAGAGGCAAGGAGTAGAGAAGAAAGGGTAACTAGGTTCAGGAGACCTGTCAGAGGGAAAGCTTATCTGCAATCAATTTTTTTTTTGAGGCAGGGTCTCCCTGTAGCCCCAGCTGTCCTAGAACTCACTGTGTAGACCAGGCTGGCCTTGAACTCACAGAGATCTGCCTGCCTCTGCCTCCCAAGTGCTGGGATTAAAGGCGTGCGCCACCACGCCCAGCGGCAATCATTTTTATAAGGGAAGATGTAAATAAATTTCACTTCATACTTAGTACAGTGTGTGTTGGCTTCCCATATCCCCCCAGATTTAAGCCTTCATCTCCACCTCCCTGCCTTTGTAATACTTGACACAAAGTTTGGCTTCATTTCTTTCACTCTCTTAAAGAGTTTCTTGAGAATAAGAAATTTACTTTTTCAGCCTTCATAATTGATAGCTCATCAATATGTGTTGAATGCATGACAGATCAAATGTCCAAATAAATTAATAAACTAATAGTGCTTCATACAGTTACTGAAACATATTTTACTTTCTTTTTTCTTCCATTTGGGCATTTAAAATGTTCCCAGGGGATGGAGAGATGGCTCCACAGTTAAGAGCACTGGCTGCTCTTGCAGAGGACCCAGGTTCAATTCCCAGCACCTACATGGTGACTAACAACCGTCTGTAATTCCAGTTCCAGGGGATCCAACCCCCTCTTCTGACTTTGGTGGACAGTGTACGACAGGGGTATACATTCATACATAAAAAATAAAAATAAGTAAAATATTAAAAAAATAAAGTGTTCCCAGATTTGACTATTAAAATATCCCCTGCTGAATATACTTAGTCAAGTAACTTTTTTCTTTTAACTTATTCTTTTTTAAAAAAAAATATTTTTATTTTTTATTTTATTTTATGTGTATGAGTGTATTGCCTGCATGTATGTATGTGCATCCCCTGGGACTGGAGTTACGGACAGTTGTTAGCTGCCATGTGGGTGTTGGGATTCGAACCTGGGTCTTCTGCAAGAACAACCAGTGTTCTTAACCGCTGAGTCATCTCTCCAGCCCCTTAACTTACATTCTTGTAATATGTTCTGAAGAATAGAAACATCGCAGGGCTGGAGAGATGGCTCAGTGATTAAGCATACTGGCTGCTCTTACAGAGGACCTGGGTTCAGTTCCCAGCATGTACATGGCAGCTAACAACCATCTGTACTTCCAGTTCCAGGGGATCTGGCGCCCTCTTCTGGTCTCTGTGTACACTGCAAAACACAGGTGCACTTACATACATGCAGACAGGCACAGAGAAAGAATAAAACACAATAGTTACAACAACTTATTTGGGGCCAGCAAGGTAGCTCAGTTGGTAAAGGCACTTGCGGCCAAACCTAACAACCTGAGTTTGAGCTCTAGGACCCCCAAGTGGAAGGGTAGAATTGACTCCCTCAAGTTGTCCTCTGATCTAAACATAGGCACACACATGGCTACAAATAAATGTAAGTTTTCAAAAGAATATACTTTGGACTCAGAGAGAGAGCCTTGATGTGTAACTTGGAAGCTTGCTTAACTTTTCTGAGCCTTTGCTTTTCCTTACGTAAAATGGAGATAAATATGAGCTGGGTGTGGTGGCACTCACTTTTAATTCCAGCACTCAGGAGGCAGGAGCAGGTTGATCTCTGTGAGAGCCAGACCAGCCTGGTCTCTACAGTGAGATCCAAGCCAGCTGTGGCTACAGGGAGACCCTGCCTCAAAAAGATTTTTTAAAAAATGGAAATAAATATATCTTGTAGATATGAGACAATGTGTGCAGATCACAAGATGCGTTTGGCTCATTTGCTAATCCCATAACACCTATCCCATAATACCATAGTATTATTCATTTGCTAGCCCATAATATCATAGTACATTATAGATGCTTAATGAATGCCTTAAATGAAAATTTGAACTTGGAGAAATTCAGTGCACTAAATCACGCTTGATTCATTTTATAGAAAATATCATTTTGCTCTAGCGTTATCAAGGAGAGAGATTATTTTCATAATTTTGTATGTTTTGATTTGAGATATATAGACTCATTGAGACTAACTTTTACAAATTGGCTCTGAGAAATGTTCCTCTCATTCCACTGCTCACAAACAGATCATCTGCTATGCTGTGGCCTGCACAGAAACTGCAAGGATCGCTCAGCTTGTGGCTCGTCAGAGGACCTCTAAAAGGAAAACCGGTCGACAAATTAATTGTCAGATGAGAGTGAAGAAAACTATGCCATTTTTCCTAGAAGGTAAGATTTTTCTTTTTAAATTTTTTTTCTTTCTTTCTTTATTTTTATTTTATGTGTAAGTCTTTTGCCTGCATACATGTAAATGCACCAGTGCATTAAATGCCTTTGGAGACCAGGATCACCTGGAAATGCAATTACAAACAGTTGTTAGTTGCCATGTGGGTGCTGGGACCAAACCTGGGTCCTCCCCAAGAGCAGTAAGTGCTCTTAACCACTGAGCCATCTCTCTAATCTCTGTAGGGCTGTAGGCTAAAAATTTAAATCTGCCCCTGAGTAGATTGTCATAACGACTTAAAGAAATATTGCCTGTGCTCACTGAGTAGTTTGCTGACATCCACATGTCAGAAGAAAAATCCTGCAGCTGGGATTTCTGTTGAAATGACTAAACAATGATGAGCCTGACAGAAAATTAAATGATACACAGTGCAAATAGCTCAGCAGATTTTAAGTTTGGTGACAGCAAAATGTGCTTTCATTCTTTTAGGTTATTTGGTGAGAAGTTTCATCCAGAATATTGGAAACTGGGACATGAGTGTACTTAGCAGATTATCTTGGTTATAAGACATTTATTTTTCAGAGACACATGAGTTACATGGCATGAAAAAGTGTTAGAGACATCTCAGCCTGTGTTTAACCAATGCTTAACTCAAGGAGGTTATATTGGTCTAAACCAAAATTCTAAAGAAATAGTTCAATATTAATATGAAATGGTAGATGACTAAGTGTCATAATGAGCATTTTAGACAAGGCAGCCATCACTGTGAGTAAGTAGAGTTGGGCTTCTGCTGAAGGGAGACTGGAGCCCAGTGATCAGGTTCCAGGTAGAGTTTGAACTGACAAAGAAGAAGGCATGGGACTGAGCTGGCTCTGTAAGAACTGGTGGCTGCAGGGGAAGAGTCCAGGTGGTGAGCAGAGGGATGTAGTACCTAGTCTGGTAGGGGAAGACCCTTGTCCACTAAGTTCTCCCCAGTCTCTTCCCTACTCCAGCCCTCCAGGGGCCCTTCCTTATGTTCCACAGAAATATCTGGAGTGGGGAGCAGTGTCTACAGTTTGAGGAGGCCAATTGATTCTGTTGTGTCTACCTAATTTCATAGGAAAACCAAAGGCAACCCTCAGACAACCAGGATTTGCTTCTGACTATTCTTTCAACAAGAAGCCTAATTCAACAGTGCTGAGAGACAAAGGAAATACCCTGGGAGTGAAGTCTGATGTGAAAATGCCACCTTACCCCGACATTCCAATGCGGAGGCATGTGACCATGTCCACCAACAGCAGGTATCTGGATCCATCTTACTGAAAGGAGAAGCTTGGAAAGCCTAGGATAACAAATGTTAAAAATGTTTTTTCATATTAAGATTTTTCTTTCCCTCCTTTCTTGTTTCCCTCTCATCCACCTTAGTTCATGTGCATCATTACTAGTAAGTCCATTTTCCTGACTGCCTGAATGGCATTCTCTCAAAGTTCTCCATTCTGTTTCTTGCATACTGTGATTGTTCTTGATAAAATGCATTTTAAATGCACCAATAAGTTGTTCTAAGATGCTATTTTATGTAACTTAAAAGTTTTTTTGAAGAACTTTTCATATAATTAATTTGTAACTTTTAAGCAAAAATCTGATCTGGCTGTGTATTTCCCTTTGCTCCAATAATTGTGCCCAAGTTACACAGTAATTTCTAATCATGACGCAGAAGCACCTGACACGTATGCACCAGAGAACTGGGCTAGCAACAAGGCAACCCTAAAAGCCTTAGTTGGGTGCTGCCATTCATGAGCCATGTAAAAATAAGTTAATTATTTTATATTTGGGGTATGTGAGTTTCTCATTTGTCCAATGACAGTGTGAAACCACAGGATCCTGAAGTTCCTATCTGGCTTTTAATTTTATGGCTTTATGAAGTAGCTCAGAGGTCATGGGCTGCATCAGGACCACTGCCTGCTTTTCTCAATAGTTTGATTGGAGCCTGGCCATATCCTGTTGACTCGTTGCCTGTGGTTGCTTTGCTCAGTGGTAGAGTTGAGTGGTTCTGCAGAGCCCGCAGCCTGTCCTGTTGGCCTCTTGACAGGAAAAAACATGCTGAGTTCTGATACAGATGAATCAGTATCCCATTCTTCCAAGTTTACAAATTGTGCCTTTGTGATCTCATATCCCTTTAAATTAGTGCCTATTTTGGAGTGAAGATCAAGTTTTCCTCGGATGCTTTTCTTCTAGATACTAGAGTATTACAGAATTAAAATAAAAAAGTTTGGCAAAAAGGAATACATTTTGGCATCTTCTGTTGTGTATTCATATGCATTAATACACAGATGTGGGGCACTGATGATAGCCTATGTTAAAAAAAGTTTTATTAGTAGCCTGTATTCTGATAGTTTCTTTTTGGAATTAAAATATTATGAGGGAATGCGCTTCATTTGAAGTAATTTAGATTTTAGCGCACTATACTGCTCAAAATTGGGAATGTGAACATCGCTGAGCAAAATGCAGTCACCAGTCCCTTCAGTCGTGGTTCATTCTGTGATTCTTATACCACCACTCTCCCTTGCTAGTGCTAAGCATTGCCCAAGAGCCTGACTCGACTGAAATACAATGGAGGAAAAATAAAGTGACATAGATGTGTGTGGTTTCTTTGTCCTTGTCTTTATTTTGGTAAGAGTATGAGTTAGGCACCTATGTTTCTTCTTTGTCATGTATATAACTATTTGATCAATCTTTCTGCTCTACTTTGAAACTCTTGACTTCCAGGTTCCTAAAGAGACTTTCAAAGACCTTGTCTAAATTTAATTTTTAGTGTAACTTTCTCTGAGTGAAAATGAAATATGATGCCAGGCTTATTTTCATTTTTTAAATTTTTGGAATATTTTCATGACTTACTTTGCTGTTTAGTGCTACAGGGACTTTAAAATAGAAAGCGTAGTGTTAAAAACGTGGTATTCTTTTACACCTTAGGTTTAGTCCAAAGGCATCCTTGCCAGCACCTCTCCAGATGCATCTCACAAGGACCTGTACTAAGGAAATGAGTGGTATGTTTCCCAAATGTACATCATACATGCTGTCTTCAGGAATCTCAGGGCCCCAAGAAAACTATCTGCTGGTTGCTTTTGACACACACTCTCACCTTCTCCTCTAATTCTAACTTTTTAAACTCACGGAGTGAAGTGATTTCTAGACAAAATAATGCCTCCAAGGATATTGTCCTTCTGACTGGAGGCCTTTGTCATACCAGACCCACTTTGCCTTATGTATGCACGTCACCTGCAGAGATTCCTGTGTCTCCCCCCCCCCCCCAATTAGAGGGTTAGCCTTCAGGAGAGGGCTTTCTAAAGCCTCAGTGTAAGGAAACCACCTGCTCTAGTTTTAAAGGTCATAAATGTGGGGCTTAAGCTCATAAGGGAGTTTCAGGTACCCCACTACAAGCACAGAAATAAAGCCTGAAATCCTTAAAAAAAAGTTGGCACCATAAACCATGGGATGACAGCTAAGCATCTAAATACATGATTAAATTATTAAAGGTTATAAAACCTGAAAGGGCCGTTAAGAGAACAATAGGATACTTAATACAAGTCAAGGAAGCTGAAGGTTACACATGCATCTCTCACCATCTTGTTTTGTGCAACCAGTGTGTAAATCTACTGCTTACACTCTCACCCAGAAGGCAAGTTTACAAAGTGCTTAATGTGTGCACAGTGTAAATGTGACTGGACAGGAGTCCTGCTTGCAGTGGGATTCTTACTGAGTTCAAATTCCTTTTCCCTAAGAATGTACTTGGAGTATTTCTTAAGAAAGTCAGTTGAACAGTATAATTTTTGTGTAGATGAATTATTTTACATATGCATTTTCTGCCAGGTGTGGTGGCGCATGCCTTTAGTCCCAGCACTCGGGAGGCAGAGGCAGGTGGATCTCTGTGAGTTCGAGGCCAGCATGGTTTACAAAGCGAGTTCCAAGCCAGCTGGGGCTACAGGGAGACTCTGTCTCAAAAAGAAACGCCCCCAGCCAGGTGTGGTGATGCATGCCTTTAATCCCAGCACTTGGGAGGCAGAGACAGGTGGATCTTTGTGTTTTGGTCTTTTTGAGCCAGGGTCTCCCTGTAGCCCCAGCTGTCCTGGAATTTACTATGTAGACCAGGCTGGCCTTGAACTCACCGGCCCACCTCTGCCTCCTGAGTGCTGGGATTAAAGGCGTGTACCACCACACCCGGCAGAATAAGCTTTTTATTTAATAGGAAATGTGTATGGATGTCATAGACCCTTCTGCTCTCTGTGCCAGTCTGAGGTAGTGGGAACACATCTTTATGTACTCTAGTAAGAAGAGAGGAGTCAGTTCCAAGCATCCTCAAGGAAAACTCACTTTTGTTACTTGGCATCTTTAGAGACCAATGTCCCCAAACTAGACTTTATGTCTCTATTGATTTGTTTAAAACAAAATAAAATAAAAAATTACAGACTCTTAGTAGAAACAGTATCTGGTTAAATTGTGAATATACTTTTCATATACATAGTAAATTTTAAAATACTTTGATCTATATCCCAGTAGAATTTTGCACAGGTTTGAAATTCCTTCATAGTTTTTGTTTGTTTGTTTGTTTTTGTCTTTTTGAAGTAGGGTCTCCCTGTAGCCCCAGCTGTCCTGGAACTCACTATGTAGACCAGCCTGGCCTTGAACTCACTGAGACCTGCCTGCCTCTGTCTCCCAAGTGCCGGGTCTGCAGGTGTGCGCCACCACGCCCGGCTCCTTCATAGTTCTTAAAATACCAAACCATCAGCCCTAGTGAAGAGGCAGGGGTTTTGTTTGTTTTTGTTTTTGTTTTTGTTTTTTGGTCTTAGTGTGTGAACTTGGATATTCTGAGTTTTAAATTAAAAAAATGTGAGTGAAGAAAAAAAGCTACTTAAAACTTTGTGAAAGATAAATATTAGGGAGGTGAAAACAAGTCATTGTTATCTGTGGGCTCCAAATCTTTTGTTCATACTTATAAACTAAAGCTAGGGTTATTTTTATAGCTGGATCGATTTTGGACTTTTGTGTACTGCTAAATTATTTTCATCAGTAAAGGAGAAAACTGATCATAGTGCTGAAAACCTGAACAACTTTTTATCTTTTATAAAATGTCCCTCTCTCTTCCTATTAAGTTACGATTTTGAACTTACAGATTGGAGCTTGCCATTCAGCATTACATATATATGTCTAGAATACCTGAAATGTGCCTCCCTTAGTTGCAGGTAGATACTTTAAAAAAAAGCGTTATTATTATTATTTTTTTAATCTAGCAACTACCCTAATGCTCAGAGTAAATTATAAAGCATCCTTACAAAATAAAGGTACTCAGTTCCCTCTCTAGGGGTATCTTGACTCTACTGATAAAGATAGGGCTAATGGGACAAGGTGGTCCTCAGTGCTGCTCAGCTTAATCCTATTCCCTTCTAAAACCCACGGCTCCCATAAGCCCACAGCATAGCAAAGTTGGAGACACCCAGGTAAATGGGGGGTAATCTAAGATGTTAAGCAATTTGGTTAATTCTATCATTCTTTTAATTTAAAGATAATTTATATCAGACTGTTGAGAAACCAAATATCACGCCTCCTGCCTCTTACACTAATAAACTGGATGAGGTTCAGAACCGCATAAAGGAAATCTTAGACAAGCATAACAATGGCATTTGGATATCTAAGCTTCCACATTTTTACAAAGAGTTTTATAAAGAAGACCTTAATCAAGGAGTTTTACAGCAGTTTGAACACTGGCCTCATATTTGCACGGTACGTTTCTCCTTATTTTTCCCTTCTGACGCTCAGCTCTTGAGTCACTGGTCATGTTTCCCTTTATCCTGAGAGCACAGAGTGCTTCACACGCACAGCTGCCCAATCTGTCCCTAAGGTTGACACATGTCACTTCTTATTCCCACAAGGATGCCAAGATTGGAAGTACTGTTACATACTTTGTCTTAATTATTTTTAAAGTGCACTTAGTATTTTATAATATCTGCTATGTACCACTTTGTATTGATTGAAGGTCTATCAATAAACACTGACTGTTTTGCCATTTCAGTACTTACTGGTAGTAATTTTATTAGTCTCAGTTTTTATATACTTATTTTTGAGCGCTTTCCAAGAATTTTCAGCTGAACAAATTTGTGTTATTTACATAGTACCTTATTTTTTGTTTTTGAAGCAATATAGTATTCATATTCAAAATTCTTACACACTGTCCTCACAATAGAAACTTTACAGTGAAAGACATCTATCAGTTTCTAGACCTGCCTGTACTTAATTGGAGTTTATAAGATTATGGATGAGAACAATTTGTTAGACATTTTAGCCCCACCAGAGATAGACAACTAGATTCTTAGTACTTTCTAGATCTTTCTTAGTTCTGCACATAAAAATCTATTCTAATCTGTGTTAAATAGCAGCACTAACACTGTGTGGTGCTTCTGCATTTGTAGAATGAATATCTTGAGAAGAATTGTGTGCTTTAAAGGAGATCTTTGCATATATTTTGGCCCCCAAACCTGCTGGGTAAAAGTACAGGCTACTCTGTCTTCCTATGCACCTGGCCTAAGGAAAGCATGTATTTTTGTGACTACTTTTCCCTTTAGTCTCTTGGACCCTCCTGAGCCTCATGTCCAGTTCCAGGCAGAAGGCATTCTCCCATTTAGCCATCCTCTTTGTTCACCCCCATTCACATTACGCTGCTTGTGCCCATCGCTGCCCTCTGTTCTGAGAGTACAGGTGACTGAGCCGAGTGAGGGAAGTAGCTATGGAAAAAAAAATGATTAGGGCAACGTGACAAGTGTTAGAGTATTTCCACGTGAAGCAGGGCTGTTTGCTCTCTTGTAAATGCAAGAATATTTGCTGTCCTGAAGAACGTCCCTGCGGTATGCAAAGTGCAGGACTTGTTCTTAGAGTAGGAATCTTCTGTTTTCCAACTCAGTTTTTCCTTTATTTGGATATGGATTTCCTCACTGGATGCTGGTACCTCTATATTGATACAGCCCTCAACTGTCTTACTCCTGAGAGAATGTGTAAGGATGTTTCATCAGACCACTCTGGTCTTGTGAGGACATTTGAGCAGACCACTCACGGTGGGTTCAGGACCTGCAGCTCCATCTCAAAGGCGTGGAGTTCCTCTGTGTTTTTAAATCTCTTGACTTGCACAGACTTTATAGTAAATTGTCCGTGGCCGTAGTGCTTTTATGGTCAAGATATTTATAACATGTTGATAAACTCTGATAAGGAGTTCTTTTAGAGTAAAAAGTTTAAAAAAATAGCTTCAAACATTACTTTTTTGGTTACTTTATACTCTGTGATGATTATTAATGTTTGTATAGCTTAATATATGACTTTGGGGAAATGTCCTTGCTGTCCTGCATGGCTACAGAGACCCAGAATATCTCTTGCTGGAATTGTAGGTGAGAGATTTCCTTCTGTTGATGCTAGAATGTCACCTAAAATCAGTGGTTTCCCTCTAAATTCTAGATGCTGAAACAACTGCCTTTTTTGTTGTTGCTTTTTTTTTTTAGCACTTGGATTTATGTGCACAGAGTGATTATTTTCTGCGAGGGTTTGAGCATGAAGCAGAAATATAGTATCCCTTCCCTGTCTGTGCGCAGCTGTCTCTTGGCTTTGAGTAGGACTGTCTAGAAGTAACCACTGCCAGTGTGGGGAGCTGAACTCAGGCACTGTGCCAGGGATACCCCAAACCAACAGTCATATTGATGTCATTAATGCTTTTCAAAACCATTTTTTTAACTTCTGTTTTTAACTATGTCAAACAGTTATTCCAGGGTTATTTTTAACCAGCTTTAAACAGTTGCACCATGGTTATCTTCCATTTCTTCTTTTTGTTCTCACCTTCCTGAAAAGCAGAAACACTGACAGCATTCCCAGGGCTGACATTACACAAGCAACATGAGACAGTCTCAAAGGCAGCACAGAAAACAGAGACAAGAAATGGGCTTCTCCCTTGGTGACTTGTCAGATGACTGAAGAAGAAATTTAAGTGCGATGTATTTCTTTTTGTTTAAGTATTTTCTCCTCCAAATGTATGAGACAGTCTATATAAAAAAGATTAAAAATAAAGTTACAAAAATACAGATTCTATATAGTTCTCCCAGCCAGAGACACAGACTCATGAGATTTTCATTTCCTTTTAGAAGGGGAGCTTTAGCTTCAGGGAACAAATAGCAGCTTGGAAGTTTTACCTTCAGATATGCAGTAAGCTGTGTCAGTAGATGCCAGATGACTTCTTTTGGGACAGGATCTTGCTGTGTAGCTCTAGCTACCCTTATGCTCACTTTGTTGCCCAGGCTGGCCTTGAACTCACAGCAGTCCTCCTGCCTCAGTGCCCCCAGTGCTGGCCCAGATGACATTTTGATGCAGGCAGAGGATGCTTTAAATCTGTTGTCCCTAACCTTTTGGATCTCTCAGGTGGCAGAAGGTATGCTGAGCATTTGAAAGCTAGAAAGGTGTGAAATCATTAGTTGTGATGAGCCAGGTTCATGGTGTTCTGGGCAGCTTGTGAGGGAAGTGGAAATTATACAGAAGCTTGTATTAAAAATTCAAAGATCCTGAGATAGTATGCCTCCAGACGAAGGGTATGGAGAGCTCCCATCCAATCCTGGGAGGACAGGGGCACCTCCTAGCTGATCTAGAAAGCATGTCCTTTTTAACTGTTTAAATGTTCTTGACCAACATTTATAAAATACTTCTAAGGATGTTGGCCACTGACCCAGGTGCTAAGGTTAAAACAGAAAGCAAGACAGACACAGTCCTTACCTTTCCGGAACTTTCTGTACAGTGAGGAAAATCAGCATTTGACCAAATAATGCTAGACCTGCAGGTGTTCTGGTGGGCCTCTGGGGAATGGATAAACAGGACTTAGTTAAGGGTAGCGAGTGAAGAAAAGTACTCAGAGGAGTTGGCTATTAAATTAGAACCTGGCAGGGGAATGAGATACACTAGGGGAGAAGACCTCAGACAAAAGGAGCAAGTTACGCCAAAGCCCGAGACAGAAAAGCATCATGCTCTCAGGAAATTCAGGAAGAGAATGAATGGCTCAAAAGAAACTGAAGAGGCAAACAGAAGTCAGCTTGCTCATTAAAGTCATCTTGATGGAGATGAGCAAGCCCTGCTCCAAGCTGACAAATGGGGCGCGCAGGCCTTACTCAGAGCACAGCGTGTTGCAAATGGTAGTAAAATGTTACAGAACATACAGTGTTATGAGTGGGGGGGAAATGCCTAATTACACCCATTTTTAATAGCTTCCACAAAGACAGTTTGCTGTTAATGTGCTTTTGCTGTGTAGCATTCTCTTGCCCATTAGAATCCTATCACTGAGTTCTAAGTTGTTTAGTACTACAGTACCTCAGACTCTTAACAGTTTCTGGATTCTGTATTGAGTTCTGAAATAGCAAAGAGGCAGCAGCAGTTCTCTCACTCATACAGAGGTCGTTTTATGCTTTTGTATGTTCAGGAATCTGTGTTAACTTTAATTGTAGAATTAATTGTAGGAGATAATAAAGTACCTTTCAGCCCTTGCAAAATGAGTTGCCTTTTTAAAAAGCCTGATTAAAAACAAAGGCGGCGCTCCTCAGGAAGTGGAACGTGAACAGCTGCTCGGTCCACTCACATCACCTACAGCCTGTTCAGTGTTGCTGGTAGAAAGGGAAACCCAGGACTTGGCACACATCGATGTAACTTTTTAAAAATGGAATCTGATTTCCAGTTTTTCATCACTGGAAGGAAATGCTGATAAACACATTATTGGTACAAATTTTAAATCTCACTGAACATCTGAAAGGCAAAAGATAAACTAGCATGGTGGTAAGATCAACTTAGAGAGGCTGAGAAACAGTGTGCCATCCGATCTGAGCTACCCACAAGGCCTGAAGGCAACAGGAAGCATTGGGTCTGGAATTAGATCATAATTGAGTGGAAACGTAATTTAAAGCCTCAATACAGAACTGCTGCTCCATGGAAACAGCTGTGTCCATACAGATGCTTTGCAAAGTCATTGTTTAATTGGATGATACTAAGTTCTTACCGAATCTTCAAGAAAATTCTAATTCCATAGACACAGTAAACTAACTTCTGAGGCCTGTGCTGCACATTTAGCGGGTGTCATTTCATAGCTGTCAGCTTTCAGCATCCAAACACCCTCTCAAAGTGTCGATCCACTTTACAGAGTAACTAAATCTACACATGTCAAAGGGTTGTTGTGAGAATTGAATGAGATAAAGTTTATACAACAGCTGCTAGCGAAGCATCATAAACCACAAGTGTTCAGTAAAAGGCAGCTGCTATTTTTTGAGACATGCAAACCCACTGCTGAAGCAGGGGAATGCCCAGCAAACCCAAGAGGCAGTTACCTTAGTGAAAACAGGAGACGCCAGAGATTTGAGAAGAAAATTTGAAGTTGAAAAGAAGCAGCAATGAAGAGAAAGACTTGGATCTCCAGTCTAAGTGTCTGCTCCATCTCAGATAGGATTGCTCTCCTCTCCCCATCCCTGCCACAGGTAATAAAAGCAAGGAAAGCTGGAGCTCCCAGCCAGAACCACCTCCAGAAAGTTCTATAGGTGCAACTGGAAGATTCCATTAATTTCAGATATGTGAGCAAGTGCCTTAAGTTTGGGCCACACTGAAAGGAAATGACCTGATGTTTGTCCTTACTGAAGTAGCTGCCCTGTGTCTCAGAAAAGTCCTTGGTAAACAGTGGGTGGCAGTGAACCAGGGTCTGCACTTAGAGCCACCCATTCAGGGTCATGGAAAAAGATCTTCTGGGTAGATGGTTTGTGAATAGTCAGACATTGCAGCAACAGAGAACTTCTTACCTTCACCTCTAAGCCCCTGTGGAATGTGCCACAAATCCTACTTCTTAAACAGAACCCACTGGAAAATTAAAACTCCTTCTCAATAATGTTGGGGTTATGGTCACTGGCATCAGGAGATGCTACAGAGAAGGGTGGGAGTAGATGGTGCGGAGACTACGCTGGCTTGGCTTAGCTGGTCCCCCATGCTCTTACACGTTTCAAATGTGTACCAGTCAACTTGTCTTCATTATGGCTCTGTGATGCCATTGATAATTCCTCATCCTTCCTAGTTCTCTAACGTCCATCATTCTCACCTTCTGAACAACAAATCGTTGGCCAGTGTACCTGTGAACTGGCATATAACCTGTGACTCTTTGAGGTTGTCATTGTGGAGGGTCACCTCTGGGCCTTTTAGTCACTGCTGGGGCCAGATTTTTAAACTGGTTTGGTTTTGTTATTGTTTATTTCTTTTGAGCCCATAATCATGGCTAAGAATTTGAAGGGCTTAAAAAGTAGATCTACAAATTGATGTGCCTTAACTACACTGTCTCAAGTTTGTGTCAAATGGTGGCCGTGTAAAATCAAGTATAGAGTGTAATTTAATCCTTAACACAGAACTGCTGCTCCATGGAAACGAGGCTGTGCCCTTACAGATGCTTCAGAAAATCTCTTGATTTAATTGGATGATACTAAATTCGTAGATAATCCTAAAGAAAATTCTAATTCCATAGAGACAGTAAACTTAGTCTCCAAGGCCTGTTGCTGTCAATTTAGCAGGTAAGCCTTCGAAGGCTCAAAAAAGTTTGACTTCAAACATCTTAGGTTTACACAACACAGGTAAATCTAGAAAGAAAGAAGATCTTTCTGTTGGGGAGAAGACTGTTTCCGGGTGCATAGGATGAAGACGTACAGGTTCTGAAGATGTTGATGTTTTGTCTTTGGACCCACATCTACTAAACCTGATAGGTCTCCCTGAAGCTTTCAGAAAGAAGCCTGGAGAGGTATCAGAGTTCAAATGAGACAGAAATCAAACTCAACAGAATGAACTTGTAAGCATAGCAAGTTTAAGGCATATTTGACATAGACTCTTTTGGTGCTCACCAAAGAAGGTGGTCTGTCTCCGTGATATAGGGAGTTTAGTTTCTTAGTCACCTTTCTTTCCTTTAGAGAGGTGTGGGTGGGCACCCACATACAGTCTGCGTATCAGTCACTGGACTGATGATTTAGGGAATAGACATCCAAATTTAAAAAAAAAAAGTGCACAGCCACAAAACAAAACCTTGACAAGATTATGATTAGGATACTGAGTCTTAGCCTCCAGTAGAGGAAGCCTTTTGACATCTTTCCAGTATGGACCTGAATCAGGTAGCCTAAAGGAAGCAGAAACTGTAAAAGCCCCTCTTAGGAGATCTATCTGAAATGGTTAGCAGCTGGCTGCCACTTAGGAAATGGAAAAAGCCGTGCTTCAAGTCTGTGTTGACTCACCTCGGCTGTCTGGAAGCCCAGGAGGCAACTGCTGTCTTGAGAGCTGAGGCAGGAGAACTATGAGTCCTAAGTCTTGTCACATCACTAGAGCACAGTAAAAAACAGAGACCTCACTCCAGTCTAAAGACAGTTCCTTAGCTTTGGGGAGACTTGGAAAGTGGGGACAGAGAAATAGCTCTCTTTCCTAAACCCATTTGCCAGAAAAATATGCCATGCTTTGTGGAAGACAGCAGTCAGAGGAAAGGGCCAGGAAAAGCAAGTTCCATTTAGAAGGAAATTTAACAGTAAATGGGTTGAAGCTGAAAATTATTTTCATTTTAAGTTAACAGTTTTTAACTGTAACTTAACTGTAACTGTTTTATACATTTTCCCCTTTGAATTGAGGAGCCCTTAAGCCATTCTTTAAGAGTTAGTTAATGGAGTATGTGGTCCAGGCGTATTTCCATATCACTGAACTTATTCAGGAATAAATTTGCCTGAAGTGTTGAAGGTCTGAATTAACTCCAACTACTGTATGGCTCTGTTCCTCAAGGTCCATATGTGTTTAATCTTTGTAAACAGGCCAAATTGTTGGAGAAGAGATGGAGTTTAGGCACACAACCTTACCTTTTAAAATAAGTCTACTGCCATACCACCCTGAACGTACCCTACTCATCTGAAATAAGGAAGGAGCCACCACAATTTGGAGGGAACCTATAGTTAAGTCACGGGCAGAGGGGGTGACACCTTAGACAAAAGCATAAAACTGCTGAGCAAATAAGTCTGTCTTCTGTTTAGGTAATCATTGGACTGTTGCTGGACTTTGGATAAATTCAGGCTTTATAGGATGACTGGCAAAGTTTGACCTTAAATACTGCAGACAGACTTGGAAATATACTACTTCTAGATGACCTTTAAGGTTATTCTGGAATTAGTTGGGCGTAGTAGTGCACACTATATAATCTCAGCACTTGAGAGGTAGAGCCAGAAGGACTGGGAATTCAGGATCATCTTCAACTTAGTAACAGGTTTGAGGCCAGCCTTGACTACATGAGACCCTGTCTGAAAAACGATTATTCTGAAATAAAGACTAGAAAAAAGTAGGATTTATGCTCTTGCTCTGTGGCAACTCATTTGAAGCAGATGTAATGTCCCTAACTTCTGTCAAAACTGTACTTCCTGCCTGGAAGAACAGTGCATTGACCACGTCTAGAGATCACTGCTAAAGTTAGTGGAGGTCATTGCTTCTCGTTGTGTCTGGGGTGGAAATGGAAGCTTTCAGGCTGGGAGAGGGGGACCAAATAAACATTGAAGGATCTCGTATTTTCAGGTGACTCGTTGGAATGAAAAGCATCATAAAGCTGAAGGTCGTTTCCTGTGAGAGGTCAAATGAAGTCAGGCACTGTTGGGGAATGAAATCTACAGAGATTATTTGAGATAAATAAAACAGCCTTTTTGCTACTGCAGTCTAGCCTCCACCATGCACTTGAAAGGGCTAAGAAACGGTTGGTCTGTGAAACCAAAGGAGAGTTTTAAGAAGGCTCTGCAGCCTCATCTGGCTTTGGATATAGAGGCCTGCCATGTTTCAATCTAAAATGGCACCTGCTGGAATTATGTACACCTGAATTATTCACAAGCATTGTTTCCATTTTCCCAGAAAGTATATTTTCCAATCCTCCTTTGGATGGCTAGCCTAAATTCTCAGACCTCATCAAGTGTCCTCAAGCACAGCAGCAGACTGGCATTTTAAAACTGAAGATTTTAAGCCAGGCATGTAGTGCTTATAATCCCTGTTCTTGAGAGTCTGAGGCAGAAGATGGCAAGTTCAAGGCTACAGAGTAAGACCCTGTCTCCAGATAGAAAAGGGCTCAAAGTGTTGCCCAGTGGTAGAGTGCTTGCTCTGATTCAGTTCCCAGCACTGAAATTACACACACACACACACACACACACACACACACACACACACACACACGCGCACGTGCGCGCGCGTGCACGCACACAGATTTTAAGAAGTAGATGAACCATGGAGAGAAAGATAGGGAATATTGCAAATACCGGTACCACTACAGCTTAACAGCAGGAATGTAAATTATGACAGTTGACCTCACAGGACGTGTCTGCTGCTGGTAGCCATGCAGATCACCTCTTAGTGATCTCTTGGGCTTCTCAGACCTGGGATTTTTCCTGAGTCCTCATAACTTAAGCACACGTTGTCAGAAGAGTAAGGAGAGAAACCCAGTGCTTTACACTTACATCAGTATCATCTACTTCTTTTTTTACTTTGTTATAAAATTTAAAATTTATTTTTATTTTATGTCTGTGAGTGTTACACCTGCACGTAAGTGCACCTGTGTCATGCAGTGTCTGTGGAAGCCAGAAGAGGGCATCCCCTGGAACTGGAGTAATGGACGGTTGTTAGCTGCCAGGTGGGTGTTGGGATTCGAACCCTGGTCTTCTGTAAGAACAGCCAGTGCTCTTAACTACGGAGCCATCTCTCCAGCTCCAGTATCATCCACTTCTTATGTATCACGTAGAAGTAGTCAGACCAAAAGGGGTCTTTTGTCATTGTTTTGTATTATTTTGAGACAGGGTCTCATGTAGCCCAGGCTGGCCTCAAACTTGCTATGTAGCCAAGGATTACCTTGAACTCTTGCCTCCACCTCCCAGCTGGAATTACAAATGTATGTCACAATACCCGGCTCCAAAAGGAATCTTTATTCCTACATTGACCATGTCTTTTGATTTATTAAAGGTCTTCTCTGGTCATAAGGTAGTGCCTTTGTACATAAGTACCTGTGGTCTTTATTCCCAGACATTGTATGAAAAGCGAAATAAATGAAGTCTGTGTTCTTTATAGTAAGCTGTCCATTCAGCAAGAATATTCTGTTCTTGCTGAGCATGATGGTGAGACCTTGAATCCCAGCACTTGGGAAATGGAGGGGCTTCTCAGGACCCTGCAGGAAGAGGGGAGGTAGTGCTGTTGTACTTCAGTGTTCCTGGTTCTTCCCAGGGCTGTGTTCCTGATGGTCTTCATGACTTTACATTCTACCCTAGATCTAGTCCATTTCCTGCACTTCTGCTCTGGGTTTGTGGAGAACCAAATAAGCTGCCCATTGACTGGGCAGAAGCCTCTTGGTTCCCTAGGGCAATTTGAGTCTAAATGCCTCCTACGTGAAGTGAATGTTGTTTTATTTTCCTATTTTTCTCTGAACTTTAGTTCATGTTATTTGCAGGTGAAGGTGATGCATCTTAGTGGTTAAGAAGAATAAAATTAGACTTTTGTGTGTCATTAAACTGAAAACAGTGTTGCTCTCAAATAATGTGTTTTCAGGTTGCTCTGAAACACTAAAGTATCTGTCATTTGCTTTCCTTAAAAATTTCAGGTGGAAAAACCTTGCAGTGGTGGTCAAGACTTACTTCTTTATCCAGCCAAAAGACAGCAGCTCCTGAGAAGTGAACAGGACCCTGAAAAGGTGCTCCCATCACCTGCTCCCAAACAGGAAGCACCATCAAGGGAGAGCCCAGAAGTTATGCCAGATGTCAAAGAGAAAGTGGCAGAGCTGCTGGGGAAATACTCAAGTGGCCTTTGGGCAAGTGCACTCCCCAAAGCATTTGAGGACACATACAAAGTCAAGTTCCCTGAGGATGCCTTAAAAAACCTTGCTTCACTTTCTGATGTATGCACCATAGACTACATTTCTGGAAATCCCCAGAAGGCAATTCTCTATGCTAAACTACCATTGCCCACTGACCAGATCTTAAAGGATGAAGACCAAGCACAAGGAGATTTTGACATTAAGTCAATGATTGAACAAGAGTATTTGCAGATAGAAAAAAACATGGCTGAAAATGCTGATGTCTTCATGGAGGACATAAGCGTGCCTCCTCTCGTCATTCCTACTGAGGTATCCCCATCTGTATTGGTGGTTGAGCTGAGCAACACAAATGATGTGGTTATCAGGCAAGTTGGTTAGGAAATCAGTGTACTCTTGTGATTTGACTGTTCTTTGCATGGATGCTGTTAAATGAAGAATAACCTTGTCAGAAGTCATAGTGACACTCAGTAATATGCTGTTTGTCCACTATATTCATAGGAGAAAGGATTACTAATTTTTAAAATTGGAATGATAATATGAACTTCAGAATTTTTATGTCAAAAGCATCATGGTAACTCTTTCAAAAACATTACCTAACCTATAGAAAAGCAAGCCCTCTTCAGACTATACCATTTAATCTAGGGCTACGAAGCATTTCCTAAAAGAGTAGCTAGGCACCACCTTCATCCCAACACCTCTGATTGGCCCTGGGACCTAGAGGTGCATTGGGGACCTGAGCCTTTTGATGTCATTGTATGGCATGGGGAGCTACTGCCAAACTGGTAATGATAACTAGGATGCAGGCATCAGCCTAGCTCTAAATGCTTGTCTTAGACTTTTGGGGAAGTGATAAATAAGTATGCAGGAAATGTAGAAAGAGTGTGATTTCCTCTTCCTGTAATAGGAACCTGTATAGCTCAAGCACAGGAGCACCAGCCTAGTCTGGAGCCAGGACTGGGCAGAGGGGGAAATCCCCAAGTAAAGCAGAACCCAGGTTCCTTCACCCCTAGCTGAGCTAGTAATGCTCAAAGAAGGAACATGCGAATAAAAATCCTTCCATGAAAGAAGAGCTCAACAACATGACAGCTCTTGTGTTTGAACAGTTTGAATCTAAATGGATAATGGAACAGGTCTTGTCTCTTGGGATCCTCCACCTGGAAGTATCTTTAGAGGGGTTGTGTTTTAAAACAGGGGTACTGAATAAAGCTTTTATTCTAGGATGTGACATGATTGCAGATACACATAGGCTGTCAAGGGTTAGGGATCCCTGTATGGTCAGCAAATGTACAAAAGTCAAGCAAAGATGTAAAGGGGCACATTGCTAACTTTTACCATTTGACTAAAGCAAACGGAATCCCTGACACAACTCTTCAATGCCATTGTTTGGAGGTCAAGCAGCCAACACTGAGCTGAATCAGTCATGTGATTGCTGATGTTCTTGCCAAAGAATTGGGATCAGTTCTAGGACTTGAGCAGGAGGGTTCTAAACCACCCAGGATCTTCAGAGTAAATACCTTTTTCAGAGTAAGTTTGAATCCTGGAGTTGGCATATGTATTCAGAAGGGTGACTGACAACCAGCAAGTGTGATGGGTAATGTCTGCCATTAGATTGACCCTAGGTCAGTGACTCCCCAATCCCACCTCCTGATTTGGCAGACCTCTAGCAGCCAGAACTCTGTTCTATCCCCACATCTTCACCCCACTCAGCAATAGGCCATGGAAACTAGACCTCTGACCCAAAGGCCCTGGGGGGTACTATACATAATCCTCAGGTCCTATAAGGGAATCTTTGTTTCCAGTCTCAGAATTAACTTTTAGTCTCAGGATATAGCTCAGAGCACTGGCTTAGCCTTCTTGTGCCCCAAGTCCATCCCCAGCACCACAAATTTAATTTGCTTTGTAAAGCTCTGTATCTTTGTCTTACCTGAATTGATACATGCATTATTCTGTCCCCTTGCTCAGGTAATTTGGAGACAGTGGGTGAACCTATGCTTGTTACTCCCCACTTTCCCCCAGCTGTAGCACCAGCCTTGTCCTCCCCCAGGTGGTGAAGCCATCCTCTGTTGGCTGCTACAGAGAGCAGAGGGTTCTGCAACTTTGAGGTGTTTCTCCCCACAGCCTTCCTTCCTACCTATTGAAGCCTGTGCTAGGCAGATTCCATTACCACTTCAGCTCAGGCTCTGTCAGTGGTTCCCAGGGCCAGAGCAACTACAAGGAGACCCCTGAAATAAGGTACCCAAGACTTCCCAGGAGACTGGAGCCCAGTGAGTGAATTCCAGCCTCACCTTAACATTTGAAAAGCTCAGGATATGTAAATGATAGCGGGACAAAATATCTAGCCATATGAGTAATATGTTTGTAGTGTTTCATCTAAAAATAGCCATTGTCCCCAAAGAGGCATTCTTTCATAGCTTTTTTCCCTTCTTTCTAGTAGTAAGTAAGTTGACTGTGCCATCTTCTGTCCTGCTGATAGATACCAAGACCACATGAAACACTATATTAGTGTAGCTGACCATACAGGAATCCCTAACCCTTAACAGCCTCCTAAAGTAGTTTTTTTGTAGTTCCCTCAGCTCACCTGAGGCCTGAAGCAATACAGAAAAACAGGCTCTTTGTGGCTCTCCTACCTCCTTGGACAGGTGATTCTAGGGCGCTTATAAAGCACAGCCTTCCAGCCGAAAGGCTTCATCCTGTGGCTGAAATGCTCCTATCTCATGACCCAGCATGGTTTTCCAAACCTGACATCCTAGAAAGAGGCCCTTAAGTGGGCAAGAAAACAACGGCCTGCTTATGGCAGAAAAGAATGTGTCTTGAACACACACTGGATCAGAGGACTTCAGTAAAACAGCAGAAAGTTTTAGAAAAGGCTGGGGCTTGTTTGAAATCCTTCTCAGAAAGCACCCATATTAGAGGCATGCAGCCAGAACATGCCACCTCTAGCACTCCCCAGCTCAGCATTTTGTTGTAATTTACTGACATTTGTTGAATAAGCTTTTGGCGGGGAGGGTTGCCTTATTGCTTTTAGTGTGTTAAAGGCTTTCATTTGTTTTGCAACAGATTTGTTTTTCATTTGTTTTGCAACAATCTCCAGATTGTGCTAGAGATAGAACTAGGACCTGACACAGGCTAGGGAAGTGCTCAGCCAAGAGCTGCATCCCCAGCCTTAGGCTTCGCTGCATTCCTCTGATAGAGTTCCCCTGCTTTTCAAAGTTTGAGGATTCAGAGATTGCAGCCTTAATTAGGGTGAAACTGTCTACCAGATTCTCTTCCCAGTCAGCCATCCAAATCTCCAGCAGTCTCAGTCGAACTCTGAGGGGCTCATCTGGCCTCCTGTAGTGTCTCTGTGTGTCTCTCCTCTTCCCTCCCTGGACGGTCTTACAGCCTGTTCCTCCCCACAGCCTCCTCACTGTCTACTTTTCACCCTATAGTTCTCAGGGTTGGTAGACATTGCCATGTTGGGCAGTGATCTCTACAATCCTGTCTTCCTGCCTTGAGAGTAATGTTCTCTGAGCACAGATGTGAACAGCTGTGAGACTGGAACCAACCATGGCTGCAGGGAAGACAGGAGTGCTGGTGAGTAACTGTGGTTTTCTTCTGAGCCATTCTGTTCTCGTCAATCCAGGTATGTGGGCAAAGATTACTCGGCTGCTCAGGAACTAATGGAAGATGAGATGAAGGAGTATTACAGTAAGAACCCCAAGGTCACACCGATCCAGACTGTGCACGTGGGGCAGCTGCTGGCTGTCAATGCGGAGGAGGATGCCTGGTTACGTGCACAGATCATCTCGGCAGATGATAATAAGATAAAGGCAAGCTCTATTTATTTTAACTAGCATGAGGAAGATAATTTACTAGTTTTCAAATGTAATTGTTTCTTATATTGTATCCTTTCAAATCCTGTGTGGTTTTCAGCAGGAGCTGAAGATAATATCTGTACAGATTGTCCCTGTCAGCTTTTAAGTCAGTGGTAATCAGGTTATTTTGGTTTCATAAAAGCACAGAACAATCCAACAGGTCCCCATGGGAGGGGGCAGGAGCCAGTAGCTCATGAGGAAAGAGGCCTTCTCCCACTTCCAGAACTGACCAGGTCTGTGGACAACATCAAGGTCCAGGCTTCTGAGGGAAGTGGCCAGAGAGCTGCAAGTCTTCCTCACAACACCTCAGCGAGGTCACCCTCTCAGGCCTCTTGGAAAGATCAGAGAGCTGGCCCACTGCCTTGCTCCATCAGTGACTCTAGGACTTCAGGCTCACCACATCACATCTGGTGTTTGGCCTCTGTCCCTCTGCCTCCTACCATCCACACAGTGCCTGGGAGGCAAGATTCTTTCCTACAGGCCCAGCCTCCTTGAGGGCTGCAAGCTCCCCAGACAGCATGTAAAGGAACTGAGCCACATGGTGGACTGTCTGCTTGTTGGCATCTACATCTGTCTACTGTAGTCACTGGGTCATTTCTGAGTTTCACAGTGAAGTAAGCATTTTGTGAGTGATGGACCTCACTGCCTAGACCTCTGGAAAAATCTAGGCAGAGAAGCTGCTGCTTTATCAGGTGTGGAGAAAGAACTGTTCCCTTGACTGCTAAGATGGCTTTTCCTCCCTAAGGGAAAATGTGCCTCAGTACCTCTGCACTACCATCCTGCTTCACATAAGGGTGCCCCATGCCTCAGAGTTTTGGAGAACCTTCTTCAGGCTTTGAGGAAAACTGTCCAGAGAGCCTGGGTGCTTTCTCCATTTTGCAAACTGGGAAGTACAGGACGTTTCTGTAGCCTGTGTTCCACAATCAAAAATCAAAAATCGAAAATCCCTGTGTCTCTGTCAGCCCCTGGCCAAACTCCACAAGTTGTCACTGAGTTTTGGGTGTTCCACTAGTCCTCACTGGAACCTCTGTTCCACACGTGTTGAGAAGGCAAGGAAGGGAAGCTCACTGCTTCTTACCAGGTTTGTTCAGTGAAAAAGAGAAGTCCTGGAGCTGGAGAGATGTCTCAGGAGTTAAGAGCACTGGCTGTTCTTGCAGAAGACCCAGGTTCAGTTCCCAGCACCCACATGGTGGCTAACAACCATCTCTAACTCCATTCCAGGGAAATTGAGGCCCTGTTCTAGCCTTTGCAGGCATTGCACACACAAGTACACTTATTTCCATGTAGAAAAAAAACACACACACACACTCATACACATAAAATAAAAATAAAATTAAATTTTTTTTTTAATTTTATTTTTTATGTATATGAGTGTATTGCCTGCATGTATGTGAGTGCACCTGTGTTGTGCATTGCTGTGTAGGTCAGAATAGGGCTTCAGATTCCCCTGGAACTGGGGACTTAAGGACAATTTATAGCTGCCAGGTGGGTGCTGGAAATCAAACCCGGGTCCTCTGCAAGAGCAGTCAGTGCTCTTAACTGCTGAGCCATCTCTCCAGCCCCTAAAATAATAAAAATTTAAAAGGTCCTGATCCTACCCAGAAATAAGGTCACCAGCCACTCAGCCAGCTTTCCCACTCAGAGTTTAAGAAATTCTTTAGTGTATAAAGACATAACTTTAAGGAAACTTGACTGATTTTAAAAATCCAAAAGTTAGGGGCTAGAGAGATGGCTCAGCCATTAAGAACACTGACTGTTCTTGCAGAAGACCCAGGTTCGAATCCCAGTACCCACATGGCAGCTAACAACTGCCCATAACTCCAGTTCCAGGGTCTCTGACAGTCTCTTCTGTCCTCCATGGACACTGTATGACATGGGTGCACTTACCTACATGCAGGCAGTACACACATACACATAAAATAAAATCAATAAATTTTAAAAAATCCAAAAGTTAGGGTGGAGTTTGGAGTTATGCACTTATCACACGATCTCTAGTTCTTTTACAAGTGGATGAGCATATAAGCGACACGGCTTGTGCATGTGCTTGCAGCAGCTTTGTTGGTACTGATCCCACAGTACGAACAGCCTAGGTGTGCATCAGGCAAATGTCTGAGCCAGATGTAGTTACTTCCTTTACTGTCCATTGGTTGAATGAACTTCAGAGGCAGTCACAGGGATCACTCTCACATAGCTTTTGCTCAATGAAAGATGCCTAACAACAGGTAAACTTAATCTACAGTGATCAACTCAACCTAGAGAGGAGGTCGTGGGGGACTAGGTACAAAGGACAAGAGGAAGCTTCTGGGGGTGGTGAAAGAACTCTGTATTTTGATTATGGTGGTGATTACATGGGTATGCATCAAAATTTATTAAGCTACTGACTTTAAACGGGTATCTTTTATTTAACATAAATCATACTTAAAGTTTGAAAAAGAAGTCTAGCAGCTAGGACGAAGTTGGCCAGGAAACAGTAGAGAACACAAAGCTTGCATTTGCAGAGGGGAGTAGCCTAGCTGGCCCTGCCTTTGTGTGAGGGGGTGTTGTTCGTTGGTTTGTTTTTTTGAGGCAAGGATTTGCTGTGTAGCCCAAGCTGGCTGTGACTGATTGTCGTGTTATAGCCTCCCAAGTGCTAGGATTACAGACATGTGCCATCACTCCGAGCTCTATCTGTATTTTTGTACCCTCAGTCAAGACCCTCCAGGTTTTCTGGGCATTTAGTTGATAGTACCTGTCCTCAAATATTCCCAGATAGACTTCTATGTATGACCATTTCTCTCCCTGCCCTTTGGAGACTCAACAGAAGCAAAGCTGTTTTAAGGCTTGGCAGTTTCTTATGAAGAAAAGAGTCATACGTAAATTTTTATGACACTTTTAACAGTATGGCAGTGTTAAATGATGCAGCTATTCAAAAGGACATGGTCCCCAATCTGCAGACTGAATTGTTGCTAAGAGTTACGGCTGTTAGAAAAAAAAGTTAGCTCAGTATCTTGTATAGCAGTGTGTTTTGGGGACACATCCCCCATGGAACCAACAGAGCCTTCTTCCTGTATGTGGAGAAGCCCAGCTACTTAGCACCCACCCTGTTTCTACTGGGCTGGTCCTTGCCTGGCAGTAGGTACCCCCACCTTCCATCCATGATATCCTTGCAGGTAAGAGATGCACGATTGTGCTGGCACCTCTGCGGGCTAGTACCCATGGCTCAGGGTGTCTGCTAGGCATTACTTAGGGAACACTGAGACCTTTGGCCACTTGATGGTGCCAGAGAACCAAGAATGGAAGCCCTGGATACCTGTCTGCCTGCCAGCCGCTACTGGTGATCACAGAGATCAGAGAGGCACAAAATGGCAGGGTGGGGTAAGTCATACTGGCCCTTCGGGGACAAGTGTTATGAATTGTAGCTGCCACATTAATGCACTGTATCAGCTGGGCCTAGTGGTACATGCCTGTAATCCTAGTCACTCAAGAGACTGAGTCAGGAGCAGCACAATTTCAAGGTCAGCCGAGGCAACTTAGTAAGAACCTGTTAAGACAATTACAAAACAGGGCTAGAGATATATGTCAGTGGTAAAGCACTTGCCTAGCATGTTTGAGGCCCTAGGTTCCATTCCCAGTACAATGCCAAACAAACAAAACCAAATCCACAACAAAAGAAATATATGGTGTTATGTTTAAAAACAAGAAAGAAGCACGCTACAGACATTACATAAACCTTGTGAAGAGCCTAAAGCGTTCCTACCTTAGTCTGTTGCTATGCTAAGAATGACCCTAAGTTTCCCAGGAGTCTGGGTCTCACACAGTGCACCCCATCATCAGACAGCGTATCAGTTGAGTCCAGGAAGAACATAATCTGAGTTGCAAGTGAAGGTTGCTGTTAAATAGAAATGAAAGCTGTCTGAATCTTGAGGCCTGTGAGAGGGGAACAGTAGATTTTTGAAGACTTTACACTTGGGGGAGGTGGACTTGTGCATTGAAGTGGCCAGTCCCTGGTCTTGCAGACCCTGCCAGCAACCGGGGCCGGGGCAGCATAGAGCCCAGTGTGGACTCTTAAGAGGGCATCTTTCCCACAGCAGACAGCCCCGCTCACCATGTGGTCAAGGGGAGTTGGTATGTACCATCTCTCCTTTTCCTCAGTCTCTGTTGAGGAGGAATTTCGCTTTATGTGTTTCACGTGCAATCTGGGTATCAACTTGCAGAAGACACAAGGGATGTGCTTCTGTTTACTGGTATTTCTAGCTAAACCTCTGCCCTGGCTTTTGTTGTTTTGCTTTGTGTTTTAATAACCATTATGTTTTCATTAGAGAAGAAAAGTAGGTTTTCAACACTTTTGGATTCTTAGTATCATTCTAAATCTATGCTAATAACAGCTTAATGTTTTGCTGGGTGTGGTAGCTCATGCCTTTAATCCCAGCACTTGGATGGGAGAGGCAGGCGTGAGTTCAAGACCAGCCTGGTCTGTATAGTGAGTTCCAAGCCAGCTGGGGCTACAAAAAGACACTTTTGTCTCAAAAGACAAAAGAAAAAAAAAAAAGCAAAGAAAAAAAAAAAAAAGCTTGACATTTCCAGGCAATAGCAAAAAACTTTTTACCAGAGAGTTCTATGTATACTCTTAAAATCATATCAACGCTAATAGTGAGTGTTCATGTTTCGTTTCTGTTGCTGTGATATTCTGACGAAAAGCAGCTTAGGGGAAAAATGGTTTATTTGGCTCACAATTCCAGATTATAGTCCTTAGTGCAGAAAAATCAAGTCAAGAACTTGAAGCAGCCTCTCATAGTCACATTCAAACACAGAGAGATGAATGCATGAATGCTTAGTAGTCATCTAGCCTTCTCTACTGTCATACAGTCCAGTGCCCCAAACCAGATGATGGTGCTACCCACAGTGGTCTGGGTCTTCCCACATCAATTAAGATATTAAGACAATCCCCCATAGACATGTTCACAGTCCAACCTGATGGAGACAGTCCCTCATTGACATTCTGTTCCCAGGTGATTCTAGGTTGTGTTATCACAATAGCACAGTAAAGAAGTACCTTGCAAACACAGAACTATTGTCTCATAGAGTTGGGGGCTTTTGTTGAGCTGAATGAAAATGTAACCTAGTCTCATGTTGTCCTGGGCAGAATCATCTCTCTCAACTTCTAGAAGCACCGGTGACCAAGAGCAGGCCATTACAAGTGTTGCTTTGGGATTCCAGATCTGAACAGTACCATAAGAGTGGACTCTGTGGAAACAGCTCCTGCTGCCCACAGAAGGGGATGGAAAGGAGTGGCAGGGGTGTGCAACTCAGGTAGGACAAGATGAAGCAGGCATTCAGTGAAGATGGGGAGAGGGCAGGCGGCAGCGTTGGTGGAGCCAGCAGGCATGCTGCTGCTGTTCGCTTCATCAAGGCCCCAGATCACACCTTGTCTTGACCTTGTTCATCCTGTTGACAAGGAGTAAAGATGCAGACTAGGCCCTGGAGCATGGAGCTCTGGTTTCCCGGGGCCCATCCCTTGTTTTTCTTCTAGGGTACACTGGGGAGCCCCTCCCCTGACTATGCAGATAGTTGTGGCACCACTTGCTGATTATGGAGTAAAATGAATCCAGTTAAATGTATCAAAACATTTTAAGTGAGGATAAAGAATTCAAGTGTAGACCTTGTTGGCTTTTTCTGCCCTCAGGTATGCTATGTTGACTATGGTTTCTGCGAAAATGTTGAGAAGAGCAAAGCATACAAACTGAACCCAAGGTTCTGCTCACTCTCATTCCAGGCTACAAAGTGCAAGCTAGCAGGTAAGAGTTCTTAGAACGCTCACTGGATCATGATAAATTGTTACCACTGGCAGTTAAACTCTGGAGTGGTCTTGGTATCTCAGTGTTAACAGTTTCCGCCGTTCTCTCCTCTATCCCTTTCTTCCTCTCTACTTGCATTTGTTTTAGATAAGCTCTCCTTATATAGCCCAGACTGACCTTGAATTTATGATCCTCCTGCCTCAGCTCCCCGAGTCCTGGCATTACAGGCATTGGCAACCATACCCAGCTTATAATGTGCTTTCCTGAAAACTCTCAGTGAAGGAGCTGGAGAGGTGGCTCAGCAGTTAAGAGCACTGGCTGCTCTTGCTGAAGACCCAGTTCCCAGTACCCCACATGGTGACTCACAACTATCATAACTCCAGTTCCAAGGACTTTACCTTCTTCCGGCTTCTGTAGGCATTGAACATACATGGTTCACTTATATACATGTAAGCAAAACATTCATACATAAATAAAAATAGATAAAAATGTTTTAAAGTTTCATGAATTCATGTTTAAGGTGTTCTGTACAAGATATAATAATGATGAAATGGGACAGTGTTTTTTCATTACGTATTTTACTATTGCATATGTTTGTGCTGTATTTTATTATAAAAAGTTCTTCTAAAGCCAGATGTAGTTGTGTACATCTTTAATCCCAGCACCTGGGAGGCAGAGGCAGGTGAATCTCTGAGATCAAGGCCAACCTGGTCTACCAGGCCAGCTGTGGCTACATGGAGAACCTGTCTCAAAAAGACCAAAAAAAAAAAAAAAAAAATTCTTCTAATTATCAGAAGGGGTTTGGTTTGGTTTGGTTTGGTTTTTGTCCCAACTGCCTTAGTAAGAATCCATAGCAAGCCTGTTTCAGTTTTGTTGCTTAGGGTGTTACAAGATGACCCATATTGCTCTTTCCCATATGCTGGACTGTAGAGCTGCACACTGCTAGCAAACCCTCATGTGCCCAAGCTGAATTTGGCTGTAGGTCTTGTGTAAGGTCTTTCATAGTCAGTGAATCACTGTTCTTTTCCTTCCTCTTGTAAAAGCATAGAGGAATATGTATATGTGAATGTCACTGTCAGGATAAACATAGGGTGTGAAGGACACAGTGGTTGGGTTAATGGGAATAGCCACTGTGCCAGGAGACCTTGCAGCAAATTCTGAAATTGATTATAATTCTTACATAGGTCCTTAACAGTCTCAATGCTGTTCAAAGTACAGAGTCTCTTCCGAGACTCAAAGTACTCTCTTAACTAACCCCTGTAAAATCAAAAGACAAATCACATACTTCCAACATACAATGGAACCAAATTTCCCATTCCAAAGGCAAGGAATGGTGGGGGGGCATAGTGGGGAAATGCCAGACCAAAACAAGATGGAAAACCAACAGGGTAAACTGTGGTGACTCCATGTCAAAGGCTGTGACTCCATGTCCGATGTCTGGCACCTTGGTTCCAAAGGTTTAGATGGCTCAACCCCTCCAGCTCTGCTGCCTGCAAGCGTACCTCTTGCTTTTGGTCTGGTACCACTCCCTGGATTCAGCTGCCTATGGCAGATGTCTCAGAGCTCTGGCATTTCCAACACCTTGGGGTCTCCAGTACAAAACAGGTTTCACCTTCACAGCTTCATGCAATGGCCTCTCAGGACTCTTGGTTTCCCAGGACTGCCTTCTTGCAAGGACTCCCCTGCCATATGCTGCCTGGCTCAGCAGCTCTCTGAAACCGTGGGGGAAGAATCAATGACCCCCTTCACTCTTGTATCTTTCATACCTCTAAAGTCAGCACTGCCAGGTTTGGCCACCAGCTTGGACTGGAACTTGCCCCCCTTGAATCACATTTGCAGTTGCTTTTTGTGTGTTGTAGTTTTCTAGGAACAGAAAATTAGGCCTTTCACAACTTGGAAGCTTAGCCACATGGGGTCTTGCTCTGAGGATACTGTTTCCATTGTTCAACTGCAGATCTGGAGGCCACTCCTTAACAACCTCAATCTCTTTTATCAGTGAGAGCCTCTCTTTCAGGATAGGCCTTGACTGCAACATTAAACTTCCTGAACCTCTTTTCCTCTCCAAACTGCACACTTTATATTTCTTTCTTCCCTACTTAATCTTTTCATTGTAGATCTGCATAATTTTCACCATTCGTAACCAGGTATGATGGTGCACACCTTTAATCCCAGCACTCAGGAGGCAGAGACAGATGGATCTTTTCAAGATCAAGGCCAGCCTTGTCAACATACTGAGTTCCAGACAAGCTGGGGCTATAGGGAAAACCCTGTTTCAAATATATATATAAAATATATATGTATATATATGTATAACTAATAATAAATAAATATAAAATAAATAAATAAGTAATAAAATAAATAAACAGACCACACCACACCACAGATTCAATGTTAGACTGCCTTGAAATTTTCTCTTCCAAAGAAATTAGTCTACTATGTTTGAGTTTAATTTCAGGCAAGTTCTTAGGCCATGGACAGACAACAGCCAGATTCTCTGCCAAAATATGCCAGCTGCTGTTTAAATCATTGTTTCCATCTCTGACGGGAATATCTTAAACCAGGCCTTTACCAGAATGGCCCATTAAGCTCCGCTTACAGCATTCAACTGCTTTCCTAATCCAAACATCCAGTCTTCTACAATCCTCTAAAACAACATGGTCAGTTTCTTCACAGCAACAGCTCACTGTCTTGTAACAACTTCTTTATTAGTTACTTTTCTGTTGCTGTGATAAAACACTATGACCAAGGCAACTTGCAGAAGGAAGAATTTGTATTATGGTTCCAGAGGGATTAAGAGTCCATCATGTCAGAGAGGCATGGTGGCAGAGGCAATCAGAGCAGAAAGCTAAGGGCTCACATCTTACAGCATGTATAAGAAGCAGAGAGAGTGAAATTGGAAATAGGACATGGCTGTGAACTCTCAAAGCCCCGCCCCAGTGACGTGCTTCCTCCAGCAAGGCCACACCTCCTGAACCTCTCCAAACAGTACCAGCAACTAACCAAGTGTTCAAATACTTGAACTTACGGAGAACACCCAAATCACCACACTGTTCTTAAAGAAGATCCAGGTTCAGCTCCCACCACCCACATCAGGCAGCTCACAACTGCCTGTAACTCCATTCTAGGGGATCTGACACCTTCTTCTAGTCTCTGCAGGCAGGCATAGGTATATACATGGTGCACATAAACTCACATAGGCACACACATGTACACAAATAAAAGTAAATATTTTTTATAAAGAACATAAGACACAGGATTCAATAAAATGTTTAAGAAAAGCTATAGCATGTGTGTCTAGAGAATGGAACAAGTAGAGGCAGTTCAGGTGAAGTCTGAATTGTAGTTCACATTTAAAGGAAAAATGCAGAAATATAGGCACTATAGTACATGTAGGGAAAGCTACCCTAGCTCTGATTAGTAGACTTGTCACGTATGTAATATATGCCAGACTAATTGGACTATGACAGTTTAACATCTATGTTAGATGAAACATTAGTCTTGCTTTGATAAATCATAAGGTCTCTCATATCCTCAGAGTCAGTGTTGATATGAAAGAAAGGAGGGAAGTTGGTGTTTTCAATTTTCAATAAATGCATGTTAGAGGTTGGGCATAGTGGCCACACGCCTTTAATCCCAGCATTTGGGAGGCAGAGGCAGGTGGATATCTGTGAGATTGAGGCCAGCTTGGTCTATATATTGAGTTCTAAGCCAAATGGGGCTATAGGGAGACCTGTCTCAAAAAGAACAAAAGAAAAAAAGTTTTCTTACAAATATGTGTTATAAGAAAAAAACAACTATATTTAAATCTGAAAAAAGAAAGGAGACAAGCCACTAAAAATACATGACTGAGGACTGGAGAGATGGCTCAGTAGTTAAGAGCACTGGCTGCTCTTGCACAAGATCCAGGTTCGATTCCCAGCACCCACATGGCAGCTAACAATCGTCCATAACTCTAGTTCCAGGGAATCCATGACCCTCTTCTGACCTCCATGGGCATTGCACGACATGGGTGCACTTACACACATGCAGGCAATACACTCATGCACATAAAAATATTAATAATAAATAAAACATTTTTAAAAATGAAAATACGTGACTGGCAGCTATAACTGATAGCTTCCTGCATGTCTTAGTCCCTGTTTTACACATGTGTTTATAGATAAAGCAAAGGCTACTTCTTCTAAGGCAGAAATACTGGTTGCTCATTAGTTATTTTTTTTTCTCTTGTTTTAAGATTGCCTGTTGTAGTATGTCTCTTAAAGGGGCATCCGCATCATGCTTTTAAAATCTATAGGTGTGTAAAGTGAAAAAGATTATGAAACAAAAACTTTCACTAAAAAGTATAAAGTATAGTAATTCTGTGGTAGATTTGTGATTTTAATGAGTGGCTGAACTAGACAGAGAAGCTGCCCACCTTAATGATGATTCTGTGATAAAGGAGAAGGGAGAACAGTATGAAAATAGCTGCTGTTTTCCAGGGTTGGAGATTCTGAACGATGATCCTGACCTTATGAAGGTAGTCGAATCGTTAACTTGTGGGAAGATCTTTGCAGTGGAGATACTTCACAAGTCGGACATTCCCCTTGTTGTTCTGTATGATACCTCAGGAGAAGATGATATCAACATCAATGCCACCTGCCTGAAGGCCATATGTGACAAGTCACTAGAGGTTCACCTCCAGGTACCACCACACTCACTGTTGTCATCTGTCACACGGGATGGGGCATAGCTCAGGGTAAAGTGCTTTCCATGTAAACAGGAGGACCTGAGTTCAATCCCCAGCACCCACGTTAAAAAAAAAAAAAAAATCCTGATATGGTGGCACACATCTGTAATCCCAACTCTTGGGGAGGCAAAGAGAATGGTACCTAGGACTCACCAGGCAGTGCATCTAGGCAAATCAGTAAGCTCAGGTTCAGTGGGACCCCTGACTCAAAAAATAAGTTGGAGAATGAGTAAGGAAAATAACTGGACTCTACCTCTGGCCTCCACATGAATACACACACACACACACACACACACACACACACACACACGCAGTGAGTCTGTTCATAAGAGGGAGGGAAGGTAGAGGGGGAAGACAAAAGGAAGAGAAAGAAGAGGGGATATAGTCATCAGAAAGAAAGTTATAGATTTGGGGCAAATAATTGATGCAGGTTCTCATAACTGTGGTGAAAAGGGAAGGAGAGAGCCAAAGGAAAAGATGACAAAATGTTAGTAGTAACCATTTCTCAGGAATTGGATTTTTATTGTCTAGTTCTTACAGTGAGAATATATTTTATGTGAAATTAAGGTAAGATAAAAATATAATGTTGGTGTAAGGATAAAAAATAACACAGGAGGGAAAATTCAATCCTTGAAGATAATTTTTGTTAACTAGAACATTTTTTATATGCGTAGGACATAAATCGCCAAAGGACTAAACTTTTCAATTAAATCATAGACTATTCAACCTTAAGAATAGGGTGTTAAATATTACCACTTTATGGACTTCATAAAAGCATTGAGGGAATGGGGGGCTTTAATAAGTAGAACTATGAAATTTTTTATATTTGAAAAAAAATGGCTAAGAATAAACCTTTACTTTGATTTAGTTTTTAATGTTTAAACATGTGGCCTGTGGTCACAGATTAGAAAGTAGGCTGGTAATAGAATGGATTTCTTGAGATTTAAAAAAAAAATTTTAACTTCTATTCATGTTGCAAAAGCATGATTTATGGACTAATTCTTATTCTTGTAGATAATATTTACCCTTCCAGATGATGGAATGTGGTAGTGTATAGGGAACATCTCTTGTGTCTGACTCAGATGACTCTAGGTATCCCTTTTGGAAAGAAAGGAATACAACATAGTTAATTGTAGTTTTTTTTACCTTTAAGTTGTGGATTTCATCCCATCTGGCTATCCTTTAATTTAGATTATTTTAAGGTGTTGTATAGTGATTTCTCTTGTTGCTGTGACCAAATGTCTCAGAATCAGCTTCAGGAGGAAGGGTTTATTCACTCACTGGCATATCCTGTCAGGAAAGGTATTACAGCAGGAGAGTGGGGCGGCTGGTCACATTCAGTCTGCAGTCAGGAAGCAGAGAAATGAATGCTGGTTGGTGCTCAGCTCACTTTGTCCCTTTTATTCAGTCAGGACCCCAGCCCATGGGATGGCGCCATCCACATTCAGGGTAGGTCTTCCCTCCTCAGGTAAACTATTCTGAAAGTACCTTCAGAGGTACACCCAGGAGTATGCCTCCATTGTGAGTCTCAATTTAGTCAAGTTGACTATGAATGGTGACCACCACAAATCTGTACACATAAATCTGATGGGATGGTCAGGTAACTACCCCTTATGGAGGTAAAAGCAATGTTTTGTCCTCCAACATTCTCAGTATGTCCTTCCTTATTCCAGGTTGATGCCATGTACACAAATGTCAAAGTGACTAATATTTGTTCAGATGGAACTCTCTACTGCCAGGTGCCTTGCAAGGGTCTGAACAAGCTCAATGACCTTCTGCATAAGATAGAGGACTACTTCCACTGCAAGGTATGACAGAACACTGTCTCCTCTAAAGTTAGGCCTAAAACTGTAGACAGGAATGCTTCACAGAATTGCATTAGGATGGATAATTATTTAGTAGTTGGAAGTAGATTTTCCAGAATGGTAGGTTGGAGAACCAGACTTCAGAGCTTTGGAGAAAAACTCCAATTTCTACCTATAAAATGGAGGTGACAACAGTGTTTTGCAGTGGAATTATCACAAAGGAAGTCACAATACAGCATAGCACAGTTTCTGGCATGTAGGAAGTGCTCAGCAGTTATTATAACATGTAACCTATGAGTCCTCAGTGCAGCTGCATGTGACTGCCCCCTGGGGCCAGCCGTCTGCTGCCACAGGCAAAGGAGTCAGTCTGGAATTTAGAATGAAACTCTCCATTTCATTTTGTTTTGGTTTCCTTTGCTTTACTCTTTGAGTCAGTGTCCCACCTTGTAGCCCAAGTTAGCTTGAACTCTAGATCCTCCTGCCTTAGCCTCCTGAGTGCAGGGATTATGGGTGTGTTCCACCACACTCAGTGTCTTGAAAGTCTTCTTAGCTCCACCCTCATCTTCTTTCTCAGGCATCACTTCTTAAGCTCTCTACTGAGGAGAAACGTGTCCATAAATATCATTCCACAGTTTAAAATGGGAGTCTACTCTTCAAATTCTAGTTTCCTCCCTCCTCTCTCTTTCCCATCCACCTCCTTCTGTCCTTCCATTCTTTCATCCCAAATCAGGACTGTAGAGGTTTTAAGTTGCTAATGTGATTTCTTTACTTCTGGTAGGACATTACAGTTTTAATCCAGAATGTGCTATGGTTTCCAGGTAACCAAGCCCTCCTACTGCTTCAGTCCTGATCCCTCACCCTTTTCTCTAACCTCCAAAGGACACCAACACCTCAGGGTATTCTGTTCAGCTTTATACTTTAGTTCTTTGGCTATTCCCCTGCCTTAGGGTAAAGACTGTTGCCTTGCCAATTTTCTCCATTCCTTATTTAGCTTTGTGCATAGAGTAGGTCATCCAAAATACTTATTGAATCAACTTGCCTCTTATTCTAATTGCTGTCTGGAATAGAGACATCAAATCTATAGCTCTACTTGTTTCTGTTACTGATGTTATTCATATATCCATATATGTGTATTTAAAGCCTAATTTTCTAGGTGATCTTAGAGAAATTGGAGGTCTCCCAAAGAGGCTGACTAAAAATGATTTGTCCTTAAAACCGAGGATGGTGAAAGCATTCTCAACATTTCCTAGTGTTTTGCTGCCCAAGCAGAGACAATGCCTTTAGAGAGACTAGACTAGTTACTGGAACAGAAAGAGATGTGTCAGGCCCTCAACTCCAGGCTGTAGCTGAAGAGGCGGATAAGGAGGCTGAGATTTGTTAGCATTTCCCTGGCACCGATGTTTGTGTTGATAACATTTCTTTGCTTGGAATTAAAATGAATGAAACGTTAAAATGAACTTAGATGTTAGAAAATGAAGAGACAAGCAAGGTCTTTGTGGCTGGCCTAGCCTCCTGGCTTGTCATCCATCTTTTCATACTCCTCCGAGTTTGGTCAGATTCCACAGCCCTCTTCATGTGTAGTAGAACCAGAGCCTATATGAGCCCCACTGACACTGCTAATTTTGTAGACATATGAATAGTGACAGTCTGTGAGCCATGTACAGGCCCAGCGAGTAAATAAACTGACATTACAAACAGCAGCAGTAAGACAGGATCCATAGCAGCCTGCTCTGTGGAGGGAAGGGAAGCCTGATTACACATGAGCAAAACAGTCCACATCTCTGTGCTTTGTTTGCGGTGGTATAGCCACACACTCACTGCTAAGAGTAACAGCTTTATCTTGTATTTCTGTTTTGTAGCACATGACCTCTGAGTATTTCGTCTCGCTACCCTTCTGTGGGAAGCTCTGCCTCTTCCACTGCAAAGGAAAATGGTTGCGAGTGGAGGTAAAATCACAGTTGACTTTGCAAGATTTATTGTAAAGTATTTCATATGTACAAACAGGTTTTCTTAAAAGTGGAATAAGCATGCTCAAACTCCTCACCAGTTTCTGAAAGTGAAAACCGTATGGTTGAGCTCCCTGTGTGCATCTTCCTGCCTCTGCCCCATGGGAGCCAGCCTCTGTATTGGAGTTTCTCATTCCTATTAATTTCTTCATGCTTTTATTATATTTATATATGTATACATACTTTTGCTATGTGTTATATATAATAGAATATATATAATAGGACTAATAGAGATGAATATGTATTTAGAAAATATATACTAAAAATAGGACTAGGGAGATGGATGAATCAAGTATTTGCTCTGCAAATATGAGGTCCTCAGTTTGGCCCCACCAGCCACATAAAAAGCCAGGTAGCTGGTGCCTATAATCCCAGCTCTAGGGAGGCAGAGGCACCCTGGGGCATGCTGGCCAACTAGTCTTGCTGAATTGGTGAGGTCTGAGTTTATTGAGAAACGCTGTTTAAAAATTAAGATGGAGAGTGATTGAAGATAATATCCAACATCGACCTCTGACTTCCACACACACACACAGTCGCACAGACTCACACACTAGCATGCACACACACATCCACCACACTCTCCACCATACACTTACAAAAATGAATGACTAAGTGGATAACTTTTTAACATTTTATGTCAGTAATGTGAATGTGTTGGTTCTTTGAAGCTTTTTCGCTACTTTGAGGTTCACCTCTTGCTGTGGATGCAGCAACATGAACAAGCCAACATTAGCACTCCACTCCTAATGAGTGTAATTTTTGTTGCCAGGAGCACTACCGTGAACCTTCTGTGTGTAATTTTCATAATAGTCATGAAGATGAAACAGCACTTTATTGCTTTTTGAAATGCTGTAAACAGCATTGAGTAAGTTAAGTGTACCACCTTTTCAGCAAGACTCAGTCATGCCTACATTAGTGAAAGCAGTTTTGGAGTAATCACTGCCATTGGTGCCACTGTGTATCCTCAGAAAGCTGAGATCTAGGGCAGTGTGACCATGGGTCATGCGTTACATGCTCAGTCTGAAACTTCAGAAACATGACTTACCGAAAGGAATGTGGTATTCAGATCTTAAGCTCCTTTGTATTCAGTTTATAATATAGAACTGTATGAATCTGTTTTTAATTTAAAATACAACACAAGACTTTCTGAAGAGTTGTAAGATTAGTATAAAGAGGCCCAACTTACCCTGTTAACATCGTATCTAACCATTCTACAATAACCAGAACCAAGAAATCAACATTAATGCATGTAACCATCCTGCAGAGCTTTCTATCGTTTCCTATACTGTCCCACCATGTCCTTTTCTGTCTTGGGATCCGGTCTGGATGCCTATTGTATGTTGCTGTCATGTCCTCTAACCTGCTGTTGTTTGGTCTTGGTCTTTTATTATTCTGAAGAGTGCCATCATTTTGTAAAGTCTTTCAGTTTCAAGTGTCTTCATATTTAAATTTGTGTTACACATTTTGGGCAAAAGTGCCTTCTCAGCGTGCACCCAGATACTCATGATATTTTATGGCATTTTATCGCTATCAAATTGTGTATTTCATGCCTTTGAATAGAGACAAATAGACTGTAAAGTTCCTTCTCTTCACAATACATGGGAAGTGAGGGAGGGTAAAATGACTAAGGAGGGAATTTGTGTTTGTTCTCAATAGTTATACAAATAATTGCTTGGCTCTGTGTAGTTTTCCCATTGTTGAAATATTAATTTGGACTTTATTTTGCCTCTTTTTGAGCTTCAGATTTTTTTCAGTTAACACAAATGACAAAAATGACTAGGTTTTATGAAACTATGTTATGATTTCAAAGCATATTTTCCCACTACAGATGCCATTCTATTTTGAGTTATTTATGTTCTTTATTCTCTTACTATTAGGCTGTAGTAGTTTTCCTTCTCATATATTAGTATTTTAAAATAGCATCTTCTGATCAGCAGTATTTAATAATGCATCAAATCACTTTCAGCAAATCATGTCCTAGAATTAGAGAAACAGCAAATATTGCTGTCCTTATGATGAATTTTGCTGATTATTAGTTGTTTTCTATTAATTAAATGTATTAAAATAAAAGCTAGATGATACCTATTAGGGTTTAAGGATGTTTGGCAAATTCCTTTTCAGTCAGGGAGAGCTGTCACTAACATGGATGGTCTCTGTTGTTTTTAACCACCTTTAGTGTTGCATAAAATGTGTTGCATGGAAGTGTTTTGGTCATTCTGATACAATGCTCATCTCATTTCAGATCACAAACGTTCACAGCAGCCGGGCCCTTGATGTTCGGTTCCTGGACTCTGGCAATGCAACATCAGTAAAAGTGTCAGAACTGAGAGAAATTCCACCTCGGTTTCTGCAAGAAATGCTTGCCATACCACCTCAGGTATGGAGGTGTGCCTGCAGAGGTCTGGACTTGTCCGTAATGCTACTGCAAGCTGCTTTCAGTCGTGGTCTTGCTAATGAGCAGTCTTAGTCTATAGGATAGTAACCTAGTGTGACTGCATCCTGGTTTTCACAAGTAAAATCTGGCTTAGACAAGATATGCAATCACGCTTTCAAAATCTGTTTGGTTAACATTTGTTTTCAAGAACCCCAAGTCCTTAGGCTGTGCTAAACATAGGTTCCATTTTAATAATTACATGTCAGTGCTGGGATCTAACTAACCAACTTCTACACAGTTCTAGGATATTGTAGGTAAATGCTTGTTTCTAAGATTTGCAGTTTATTTATCTCACCTTTTAAAAAATATTTTATAAATTATTTTTATTTTATGGGTATGCGTGTATTGCCTGCATGTAGGTAAGTGCACCCGTGTCATACAGTGCCCATGGAGGACAGAAGAGACTGTCAGATCCTCTGGAACTGGAGTTACAGACAGTCATTAGCTGCCATGTGGGTGCTGGGATTCAAACCCAGGTCTACTGCAAGAACAGTGTTCTTGACCGCTGAGCCATCTCTCTAGCCCCAGCTCACCTTCTTTTTGAAAATCTGTTTATCCTTACTCATTTCCTACAGATCTTCCCACTTGTGTTTCAGTGAGACTGTTAATCTCAGTTTATCCTCAGTGAGAAGGATTGTGAATCCCTACAAACCTATTGATATTAAGAACCATTTACTGCCATTATAAGAGATAGATTTTTTAATTTTTAAAAATTATTTATTATTTTTATTTTATGTGTGTGTGAGTGTTACGCCTGTTTGTATGTAAGTGTGTCTGTGTCATGCAGTGCCCATGGAGGACAGAAGGGGTCTTGGATCCCCTGGAACTGGAGTTAGGGATGGTTGTTAGCTGCCATGTGGGTGCTGGAAATCAAACCCAGGTCCTCTGCAAGAGCAGCCAGTGCTCTTAACCACTGAGCCATCTCTCCAGCCCCAGAATATTTTTATAGGAATTAATATCTTTAAGAAAGACTATTATTCATTTGCTCCAGGCATGGTAGCATACTCCCATAATCCCAGCACTAGGGAGGTGGAGGCAGGAGCATCAGGAGTTCATGGTCATCCTTGGCTACATAGTAAGTTTCAAATCAGCCTGGATTTCCTGAGACCCAGTGTCCAAAAACAAAACAAATCAGTTATGTAATACCTCTTAACTGTTTTCCAGAAGACATCTCCCACTGTCAGTACTCAGCAAATAAAGCATAACTTTCAATAACTAGCCTGGCTTTTACCATTTCTCTCCAGTCTCTATTGCTCTTTCTAACAAAGACGATTACTCATACCAGCCTGTTTTCATAATCACTTTCACCTGCTGTTGCTTAGCCGTGATAATGTAAATCAGTAGACCTGTAAGTGTTCCTGTTGCTGTGTCACACCCCCAGCATCTGCACCTCCTCATGAGCATGTCCATCCAGAGCCAGCATCACATTGACAGGGTTCCCTGACTGGAGAGAGGGGCTTCTGAAGGCCCACTGATGTCTATCTGAAAGTCACATGATAGTCCTTTCCTTATGCTGCAGTATTAATGGACACTGTTTTTTTTCTGTCAGTCTTAGCTAGATTCTTATTTAATATGTGTGATCACTACTCACTGCAGGACCCTCAAAGGCCAGCTTGCACAAGCATCCAGCCAACATCTCCCCAAGAAGTCTAAGCAAATCCATAATTGTATCTTTTGGTTCTTGACTCTTAAAATATTTTAAGCATGTGAATAGATTGTTGTGATTTTGAAAATAGTATATTTTTGGTTTTTTTTGTCACACTAACATACCCACTTTTAGCTTTTAATCATTTAGAAAATATTAACTACTTTTTTTTTTGGTGAAAGAAGCTTTGAGTTGAGAGTTCTGTGCCTCTTCTACCAAGAGCCTGTACTTGTCTATGTGCCAGCCCCTCGGGCTGCCTCCCGCCTGCCATGGCCCAAGGCCCCTGCAGAGTGCTCTCTCCACTTTGAATGAACTTCCTGGCACCTACAGCTGTCCCAGGGAGAGAGGCTCAGAACCAGGAGGGAGGATGGACACAAAGGGGTACTTAGAGAATGCAGGAGGAATCTGGGGGTGGGTTTCATGCCTCCACAGATTCACATGTGACTAAAGGAATCCCTAAAGTCACTGTCTCCCTGCTGAGACCATCTACAGAAGATAGGGGAGCACTGGAGAAATGAGGCATTTGGTATAGCTGTGGATGTGTTTTCCTGCCGTCTAATTCCCATCCCAGCTCCTTCACAAGATGCACACAAGTGCTTGGCACCCACAAGTTTTTCAGGAAGCACTGAGGGAGATTGCCATGCTTCCTTTGAGACTTGCAGGGGGTCACATTGTTCCAGCTGACACTTCATTTTTAGTTGGACTGAGCAGGAAGCTCTAGTAAGAGCCACAGGCTACTCAGTGTTGTCTCACCATTTGTAAAATGGTGCACAGCACACGTCAGGCCAAAAGGATTATGGGGTGATCCAAGTGCCTGGTAATAATGCTGGCTCATAGGAGGAGTAAAAACAGTAGTAGTGACATGAGTGGGCACTGGAGCAAAGCAAACGCTCATACCCAGAGCTGTGACCCTCACAATCTGCTGCAGCATCTGACTAAAGGAAAACAGACATTACTCACAAGTACCTATCTTAAGATGGTGTGCTCGCTTCCCACCATGTTTTGCCTTGATTTCTTTCAGGCTATAAAGTGCTGTTTAGCTGATCTTCCACAATCTATTGGCATGTGGACTCCAGATGCTGTGCTTTGGTTAAGAGATTCTGTTTTGAATTGCTCAGACTGTAGCATTAAGGTGAGTTACCTTACTAGCCCTGGTATGTCTGGGTAGAGCTGGAGCTGGTGATAGGGTGCCAGGTTTGGTGGATGAGTTTTAGCTCACCGTAGTGGATACCAACACATTTTTTCTTTCCTAGAGATTAGTTGTGCATATAGCTATGAGATGCTTCAGGTTTGTTTCTTATTTTAAGTTATCCTGCATCTCCCATATTACTTCTAAACCCTTTACTTTTTCTACTATCAATAAGGTGGCTGAGATGTTTCTCTACTCCAGTTTTGCTAAGTGAGAGATAAAGAATGAAATTGGCTCCAACACAGAGACCATATATTTATCTTGATAAATGATTCTAAAGACCAATTGAATTAATAAACCTACTGTTTTTTTCCTAAAGTAGAATGGATTATATGCAAATCATTTGTTTATAATCTTGGTGTTTGCCCCTTTTCCGGAAGTTAGCTGAACTGCTGTGTTCACTTCATTAGCTCTTCGCTCTCGCTCATGTCTCAGACTGGAAATGTGAGCTGATTCTTCTCAGCTGTTCACTAGTGCAGACGGTGTTATTTATATAGACAGGTAACTGTGAAATGCCCTTGGCCGGTGGCTCCTGAAGTTCTAAACCATTGTAGCTAGCCCTGACTCTTCTGTCTGTGTATGCCTCTGCTGGATGCTCTGCGTGTTGCATGCTCAGTTCCACACTGGTACCTTCACGTGCTTAACTATGCCCTGTTTTACGGTCCTTATTTATCAAACAGTAGCAAATGTTGTTTTTATCAGCCATTCCTGAAACCAAAGTATCTGCACAATAAAAATACTATTTTTTTTCCTTTTCAAATGGTGTATTGTTTTATAGCCCTGACTGGCTTGGAACTTGAAGCAATACTCCTGCCTAGGGCTCCTATGTGCTATTATTGCAGGCTTGTACTGTTGGCTCTAGAAAAGTAGTTTTTAAGAGTTAATTTTTTAATGGTACTTCTGTATTATAGATAGGCAAATGTATTTCAGTCAATATTTGATTAGTACTTGAAAGGATGAATTGAAATAGATACATCTCACTGGTGACTAGGAGGGAACACATTTTTTTTTTAAGTAAATTGTCCTTTATGGACTGCCTTGCTGGCTTCTGCCCCTTTTCCTGCCTGTGTCACTGATTCCATTTCTGGTCCCCTTTGATAAAAGATAATGTAACCCAAAGAGTCCCACTGTTTTCCTTCTTGAGACACACTGGAGGAGCTGATGAGAATCATTAACAGTCACACAGCCTTTGGGGCACACAGCAGTGCAGTCCCAATGACTGCTGCATGGTATTTGCACACAGACACCCCCTGGCAGAAAGCACAGAGGTGGAAGTCAGAAGGTCTCCTTTGTGGTGGAGTTGTCTTCCTCTTTCTCTCCAGGCTCCTCCATGTAACTGGGGAGTGCTGACACATACTAGGTAGGACCAAGCCAGGAATCGGGGCCAGAGGTCCAGGTATTTTTTGCCATCCTGGGGTATACTAGCCTGGCCTGAAGCAGGGTTCTTCCTGGACCTCTTGCTACCCTCCTGGCTATTTTTATAGCTGAGGCTGGCTGGTGAGCACACGGACACTTACTGTACCATCGTTCCACTTTGAGTGCTTTAGAATGTCAGTAATTTTAAAGATTTAATCAGGATGTATTGAACCACTTTCTCTCAGTGACAGCAGCCACCACTGGCACATTATTATGGTTTCTCGGTTTTCATTTCCCAAGATTTGGGACTGTTTTTATAGACTGTTTTCGTTTGAGAATATATTTGGCTGTGCTAGATAATTCATCTTACTGTAAAACTTTTTTTTTTTGCAAAATACTATGTTTTAATATTTAAATACTATAACTGTTTCTCAGAATTCAGTGTGAAGAACTGGATTTCTTAAAATGCTTTTTTTTTTTTTTGCATTTTCCGAAGGTTACAAAGGTGGATGAAAGCAGGGGCGTCGCCTATGTGTACTTATTTACTCCTAAGAGCTTCCCCGACCCTCATCGCAGCATCAACCGCCAGATCACAAACGCAGACCTGTGGAAACATCAGAAGGATGTGTTTCTGAGTGCCATGTCCAGTGCAGTCAGCTCGCCTGGCAGCAGAAATGGCAGTACGCCTGCATTGGGCGGCACTCCCACGCCAGGCAACCCTGGAGAGAATTTCAGAAAGAGCCTCCCAGAAGTCATCAGAAAGTCCATGCTGGACCACACCAACTCTTTCTCCTTGGAGGAACTGCCACCTCCAGTCCACTTGTCAAAGTCAGGGGAACACATGGATGTGTATGTGCCTGTGGCCTGTCACCCAGGCCACTTTGTCATCCAGCCTTGGCAGGAGATTCATAAGCTGGAGGTGCTGATGGAAGAGATGATTCTGTACTACAGCGTGTCTGAGGAGCGCCACATAGCGGTGGAGAAAGACCAAGTGTATGCTGCCAAAGTGGAAAATAAGTAGGTCCTTAGACAATTTAGCCTTTCACTCCACTGCTAAGAAAATGTACAGAGCGATTGCAAAGGTCCCTTGTCTCTCCAGGGGAACTTTGAATCATGCAAATGAGAATTTTTGAGTGTGAAATGAATTCGATGAATTTTGCAAATGTTCTATTTAAAACGAGCATTTATCTAAAAATCTAACCATATTCCTCTTAAAAGCTAGTTTTATACATAAAATGAAATTTTAAATATTTCCCTTATTTTTGTATTAGAAAAAAATGATTTTATTCAGAAAATAACCCCATGTTTTCTTTTAATGACTTTTTTAGTTTAAAAATAAAATGTTATCGTGGAAAGTTTAGGAAACAAAACAAAAAAGCATAAGAAACAAAAATCAGCTACCCATACACAGCGCCTGTTAAAGTACTTATGTATTTCTTCTAGTTTCTCTACACACATTTATATAATGGGTAGATGGTTATAAAGCTGTACTTGATTTTTTCCTCTAACATTATGTGTATGAGTGTACTGTCTGTGTGTGTGTAAGTGCACCTATGTTGTGCAGTGCCAGCGCAGAGGTCAGAAGAGGGCATGGAATCTCCTGGAACTGGAGTTACTGACAGTTTTTAGCTACCGTGTGGATGTGGGTGCTGGGACTCAAACCTGGGTCCGCTGCAAGAGGAACCAATTCTCTTTAACTGCCAAGCCATCAGTCCAGCCCCTCAGACACATTTTTAATGACTGAGTGAAAATCTGTTAGAAAACTCATAACTAGCATTCTCTTTAGTTAGGTAAATTTTTCTAGAATTTTTCACTATTACAAGCAATATTATTGTAAATAATGGACCATTGTTTCCATCCCTGATTATTTATTGATGGATAGATTCCTATGAAAGAGATGGCTAGTTGCAAGTCTCACGGATTCTCAATGTCTATTGTCAGTTGCTTCCTGGCAGTTGTGCCATGTTTTTAAGGAATGAAGTACACTCCTTCACTGTTCTTTGGCCTTGGGACTGAGAACTGTACCTATTCCACTTAACACTTGCATCTCTTCTCTCCTGTAGTTGTATTTAACCACACCTCCTCCTCCAAGGCCCATTAGGGTGTGTGCTAGGGTTGTCCCAGGTGAGCCCAAGCTCTCCACTCTCCACTCCAGCTGTGGAGCCTAGAATATGAAGAGCTGCCATGCCCTGTCCCGAGCCAGTCCTCTTAAGGGAGACAAGTGGGCTTGGTAATGCTAAATGTAGAGTGTGCTCTCTCTCTCTCTCTCTCTCTCTCTCTCTCTCTCTCTCTCTCTCTCTCTCCCCTCTCTCTCCTGCTCTCCTCTCAGTTTAAAAAGGTCAAACTGCTCATTTTTTACACAAAATACTTTATTCTTTCTTCAGATAGGAAATAGGCATATATAAAATTTTAGCATTTTATGGAAGGAAAATAATTTCTAACTCTAAAATAGTGAAAAAGGCTAATAGTGTTTATTTTGAAAAACATACAACCTACATGTCATAAGCTTTTAATTTTTTTAAGAAATTCATTTTTATTTTGTCATTATATTGTTTTTAACCCTAAGCATATGGATATTTTAGAGATGAGAAGATATTAACCAATATTCGTTTAGGTTTCATGAACTGAACAATATTAAGTACTTAAAGCTTATGTCTTAAGACTTGGAACTTTCTACCAAACCTTATTCCCAACTATGGTGAGCTGACACTTAGGAATTTCTGACACATTTTTAATGATCATGGTCTCTAAATCTATCTTAGTAAGAAAGGCTTGGGAACCCTACTCAGTCCAGGTTCTCCTTCCTCACCCCTGGCATCCAGGTCTAATCTCTGGTGGAGCACCGGCGTCTGTGTTTTGAACAGACTCCCAAGTAGTGTTGGCGTTGGAGTCTAGTCAAAACTGAGCCTTCATGAAACAGTGGTTTCAAAAATTAAGTTAGATAGAAATACATCTGTTTTCTGAGGCATTCTTTTTACTGCCGTATGTCTCTTAGGGACCACCGTCATATGGTCCTGTACAATTTAAAGATGATGCTGTTGGTGAAAGCCAAATGGGTTTATCACTTTTCTTTCTCTTATACAAATAAGCAACCTGTACCAGACTGGCATTTCTGCCATGAAAAGCCTTCTCTAGTGTAATCTACAGTTTTTATTTATTCAGCTTACCTTCAAATGGTGGCTGCCACTTGCTGAGTACCTATTATAATGCCAAGTAATGTGCTAGGCACTTTTAACTAAATATTTATGCAGGGAATTAAAAATTAAATGTTACACATGAGCTGTGGTTCAGGCCAGGGGGACATCACTGAACGGTGGTTCATGTGGGACTTCTGCTTGGATCTGCTTGACTCCCACACCCCTGGGTACTTACTTACTATGAATCCTTCTGTGTCCCAATCATGTCTGGGACTCATGCATTATTGTTTTTTGTACCTTGAGTCTGTCTCAAGGTTTCTGTATTTCCTCAGAAGCCCCTGGTCACATACAATGATTAAAACTGACCTTTTGTAGGCCTCCAGCTATTTTCACCCTAGGGCAATTGTGTGGATTTCCTGGTCCCATTCTCCCCCTCAGTGCTCACCCCCAACCCAGCAGTGTGTTGTAGTAAAAGGCCATTGGGCTTGTAGCTGATAAACTTGTCATTAAATGACTAGGCCTGCCATCTGAGGGGCAGTTCAACACACGCCATTGAGGTGCCAAGACCACCTCCATAGATTTGAGTGGCAGTGAACAGTCCTGTGGTTGGGACCATAGGACTTTAAACCAGTCCTTCATCTGTTAACCTTGAAGTCTAGATTTTTCTCAATGCTGGTGTAGGCCCAGAGGAGTAATACATTCATATGAACTCATTTCTGATGCCTTGCAAGGGTGGCCTTTTTCCCCCATACCCTTCTCCCCTTTTTCAGGTTCTTTATTTTAGGAGAAGGTTGGATTTTGTGAGGTTGCATGGTTTTTAATATTCTCTTATGGCAAATTAAAATCATCAACTAACTTCTCTCTCTCTCTCTCTCTCTCTCTCTCTCTCTCTCTCTCTCTCTCTCTCTCCCTCTCTCCCTCTCTCCCTCCCTCCCTCCCTCCCCTCTCTTTCTTTTTTTAACAGCATGAACACAAATTGTTAAGGACAGGGAACTCCTGAGTGGGAGGGGCTCCAAGGGAGGAAGACTCTAAAATACTCAACTTTTGCTCTGTCCCCAGCCTGCCACCTCTGGCTTCCTCTTCTATGCCTGCACAGATTCTCCGTTTAGCGTTACTGGGATATCCACTGTCCTTCAAGCTGCTGTCTGCTCTGTTCTGCCCTTATCTCAAGTAGTTCAGCTTCCACTGGACCTGCCTGCATCTTTGCATCTTCTAGACACAAGCCCTGTGCCAACGTGTGGCCATCCCTGCCTCTGGGGGGTGAAGGGTCCCTGGCCTTGTCCTGACCACTCCCCATGGCATGTTTTACTCTTCTTTTTTACTTTTTTTTAATTTTAATTTTTTAAAAATCTTTTTGAGATGGGTCTCCCTGCAGCCCCAGCTGTCCTGGAACTCATTATGTAGACCAGACTGGCCTTGAACTCACAGAGATCCTCCTGCCTCTGCCCCCTGTGTGCTGGGATTAAAGGCGTGCACCACCACGCCTGGCTTATGTTTTACTCTCCTTAAGGAGGGTTGTGCAGGTGTCTCTGCCCTCACTAGCTCCTGTCCTTAAGTAGCTCCATGAGTCATTAAATCTCCTGAATGAGCAGAGTGCATCAGATGAGCCAGTGGCCCAGCAGGCAACAGTAACCTCTGTAAAAAGCATTTACTGTTGCTTGGAAACCCCTGGGACATGAAGTTTTACAGTTTTGATAGCCACCACTTAGTGGTAATTTTTCTTTGAATTATAGAATGTTTGAGTATATATTGACTTTGGGTGTTTTCTTTTTTTAATCCAATGTGCTTCTAGGTGGTACAGGGTGCTTTTAAAAGGAATCCTGACCAATGGGCTGGTGTCTGTGTATGAACTGGACTATGGCAAGCATGAATTAGTCAACATAAGGAAAGTACAGCCCCTGATGGACGTGTTCCGAAAGCTACCATTCCAGGCAGTCACTGCTCAACTTGCAGGTAATTTCTGTGCAGTCTGACCAGCTGCAGTAGTATTTATATTGTCATTTGTCCTAAGGACTTAGCAAGTACAAAATCATTACATTAACCTCTGGAGTTTTGTTATAGCTTGTTTTTCTTTAACTGCTAACAATATCCCAACCAGAATAGGAATCATGTTACTTGTCTTTGATCATCGTTCTCCACCATCAGGCCTGCAGTATCTGTCTTCTCCTCTGCTTTCTGTCTCTGGTTGCACACCTGCTAGATTTCTAAAGCTTCTGTCCTGGTACAGATAGAATATTCTGTTCTGGTTTTCCTCATTAGCTGTTTTCCTCTGTTTGGATATATCATTGCATAGTTTTGCTGATTGTTTTCCCACTGGGGCGAAAAGCATGCTAAGCACATGTACAACTAAGTGACACCCCTGGCCCCTGCTGATTACTTTAATGGGTGTAAAATATTCCATTGAGTCCATCTGTTCCTATTGTTGAACAGTAGCATTGTTTATGCTTTCTATTGTAATGTTAAGAGGAATTCTGCAGCTAAGAATAATAGCAAAAATAAGCAAAAAACAATGCAACTTCCAACCTCAATAACCCAACAGGCAGAGGATTTTATTGCTGTTACACAGTTTTACATAAATTATACATCTACATAGTGGAATACTACACAATCACAAAACATCTGTGGGTTATTTTTATGGACAAGTGAGTTTCCTGTTTGCATCACAACACAGAGCATGCAAGTGTGCAGCCTCAGTGAGTTCACACCAGCTTCTTGACTGTCATTGACATTTGGGGTATTTATTTAATAGATAATCTCACTAAGTTCATACCAGCCTCTTGATTGGCATTGACATCCTGGGTACTTATTTAATAGATGAGGTTTTCCTCTGATCTTTTGAGAAAGTAGTACAGATGTTGTGGCTCCCCTGTAGGCAACTGGTGCAATTCAGTTTCAGCAGAGATCACTGGAAGCTAGCAGGGCTGAGGGAAGGCAGACTCCGCTCTTCCCTGGGCTCTCTGTAGCCTGCCATGATGGGATATGGGGCTTTGTAGCCACTCTGGACCACCTGATCTTTTGCTGCTACCTGAGTCCTCAGCCCTGCCTAGCCTAAGTGTAACTGCAAGAGAAAGTAGTTCTGTCTCTGAGGTGAAAGACCATTAGATATGCAAACTCTTCCTTTGTTTATTGACCAGCCTTCAATGAAAGGCTTTGTAGCACCTCATTTTGAAATATTTGCCATTTTCTCTTTGCCTTTCCACTAGAATTCAAAGGAAATTCTCATAGTAATTGGTTATAAAGCAAAAATGACCCTTTGTACATGGCTTGGCTGCTAGTCTGCTTTGGACTCAAACCTTTTAAGTAGTTTCTTTAAATTAAGTTTGCCCTCTTTTTCCATTTCCACATTCAAGTTTTGCTAGTAGCACATTTTGTCAAACATGGCCATCTCACTGCCAAGAGGCTTCTCTGTGAAGGATGAAGCCCTGGCCCCGTGCTCCCCATCCACTGGTAGGGACTCTGCCAGATGCTGGAGGTCCATCTTCTTGTCCAGTATATATTCAGTGCTATACACTTCTCTTTCAGCCCTGCTTTACCATGTGCTATGGTTGTTGATTCACTGACTTTTTATTTTCATTTAACTAAAAAAATATTTTTAAGTTTGCCTTGAAGTTTCTTCTTGGTCCATGTGTTATTTAGAATTGTGGTGTTGATTCTCCAAGTGTTGGAAGATTTTTCCAGCCATTTTCTGTTGATTTCCAGTGTGACTCCATTGTGGTCTGAGAGCAGACATTGTGTCATGCCTGTCCTTTCGAATTTGTTCAGATATGTTTTATATCCCAGAATGTGGTTATCTTGGTGAAGCTTCCACGTAAACTTGAGAAGAGTTATAATCTGTTGTTACTGGATGAAGTAGTCTGTAGGTGTCACTTAGGTCAGTAGGTTATAGTGCCTTTGCCCTCAGTGTATACCTACTGATTTTATTACTTGCTGGAGTCTCTCTCTCTCTCTCTCTCTCTCTCTCTCTCTCTCTCTCTCCCTCTCCCTCTCCCTCTCCCTCTCCCTCTCTCCTCTCTCTCCTCTTTTTCTCCCTCCATCCCCTTCCTCTCTCTTAGGTTCTATAGATGACATGTAGTTGAATCTTGCTTTTTGATCTGCTCTGACACTCTGTGTCTTTTAATTCATGTATTTAGACTAGTGAAGTTTAAAGTGATTATTAAGGGCTAGGGAGATGGCACATCAGCCAGTTAAGTGTGTGCCTTGCAAGCACAAGGACCTGAGTTTGATCCCTAAAACCCATGTAAACATCCCAGGCATGGTGGCTGCATGCTTGTAAATCTCAGCACTAGACAGAGATGGAAGAAGACACCTATGTCAACTTCTGGCCTCTACGTGTGCACACACACATGCATGTGTACCTGTATACACATGCTCCCACATACGTGGGAACATGCATACGTATCGGCATGCATACCACACACACATACACATGAAAAGGGAACCAAAAAAACTGGTTTTAGTGGTTGCCCTAGGATTTGCAACATACATTCAAGTCCCTTTGGTTGTTTATTTATTTTGGGATAGGATCTCATGTACCCCAGGCTAGTCTTGAACTAACCCGCTGTATAGCTGAGAATGACCTTGAGCTCCTGATCTTCCTGTCTCCACCTCTCAGGTGCTGGGATTACAGTTGTGTACCACCATGTCCAGCCTTAAGTCCGCTTTTATGTGTATGGTGTGAGAGGGGGTGCGTGTGCATAGGTGCACATGCACATGTGTATGCATGCATATGTGAGCCAGAAGATATCAGTTGTCTTCCTTAATTACTCTCACCTTATTTTTTTGAGACAAATCTCTCACTGAACCTGGAACTTACTGATTCAGCTAGGCTGGCTGCCCAGCCAGTGATCCATCTGTCTCTGTCCTTCCTTATGCGGAGATTATAGGTTGTACACTGCCAAACCTGGCTTTTTGCATGGATATTGGGCATGTAAACTCCAGTCCTCATACTTGCATGGCAAGTGCTTTACCAACTGAGCCATCTCCCCAGCCCTCAACTCTGCTTTTAAGTAATGCCACAGCACAACACCTTATAATAAAATGATCCTATAGCAAAATAGTTGTTTCCTCTTGCCACTTACATTGTTGCAGTTATTGGTTACACTTAGGTACACTAGGATTATCAGATACTTTATTAGTAGTATTTAGATCAGTTAGAGTAAGAAAAGTTGTCAGGCACATGCCTGTAATCTCAGCACTAGGGAGACTGAGGCAGGAGGGTTGTGAGTCTGAGGCCAGCCTGGGCCATATAGTGAGTTATTAGAATAAAGTTTGACCTTCACTTACTCACTCTCAGATGTTTTTCCTTTGTTATCTTAGACCCGGGTTTAATTTTTCTCTAGAGAATTTTTCAGCATTTCTTCCAGAGCAGGCATACTACTAGCAGACTCCTCTGGTATTTGTTTCTCCAAGCATCTGTTCCTCTTTCTCTCCTTCTCTTCCTCTTCTGCCCACCGTCTCTACCCCATGTGGTCTGGATTGAACCAGGAGCCTTGTACATGCCAAAGATTTAGTCTGTCACTGAGCTCACCCCAGCCCTGACCTATACTTCAGAAAGGTACTTTTCTAGGATATGCAATTCTAGTCAGTGGGTTTGTTTCCTCTAACACTTCACTCTCTTTGCTTTTGTGAGTTCTGGTGTTAGATGTAAGTCTGCTCTTTGTTCTGATATAACTAAGGTACTTTGACATCTTTCACAACTGTATTTAGATTTCTCTGAAGTTGGATGTGGTATGCTGAGATGTGTTTGGGGACCATTTACTGTGCTTTGTGCTCACTGAGCTTCCTGGGTCTGTGTATGGGGTGATGCTAATTTGAGGACTCTCGCTGATTCAGAGTGTTTCTGTGCTTTTCTCCTCCTGGTCCCCGTCCCCCCCCCCACCTTTGCACTTCTTGGTTGTCCACCAGTTTTTGCTACTCTGCTCTGGGCCTTCTTTCAGTCTGCTCTTTGCTTCTCAGTTTTAGAAGCTTCTATTGTCACATCCAGTCATAGAGAGCCCAGCAAGGTGTTCTCTCCTCTTAGTGTTTGTTGTTTCCAGCATTTCTTTTGTTTTATTTCCTTCTTTAAAATTTCCATATTTCTGTTAAACCTTGGTGCTGAGAATAGAAGCCCAGCCTCACACATGTAAGGCAAGCACTTTCCACTGAGCTAACCCCCACCCCATCCCTCCATGTGTGCATGTAGTCTGCATCTGCTACCCCTTAGCATGCTGATCATGCTTGTTTCTAATTCCTGGTCTGCCCATTCTGCCATTCCTGTTCTGACTCTGGTTCTAGCACTTGTTAGGTCTCTTCAAACTGTGGTTTTGCCTTTAGTATCACTTGTTTTTATGGAAGGTGGACGTGACACACTAGGTAAAAGGCACTCCTATGAACCAGCCTTCAGTGACTTGCGTGGGGCATTTGACCAGGTACCATGCTGAGTCTGGGGTGAGCCTGTGTCTTTTCACTGGGAATTTTACTACTTCTCAAGGGGTCCCAACCAGGGGGAACAGGACGGTTGTAGGCAGGAGCAGGGCTGTGTGAGAACTGAGCATCTCCCTCCCCTAGGTCCACGGGCCCCAGTGAAAACCCAACAGGTCAAGCTCCATGAATCCCCTTGTTCCAGGGATCCTTTAGAACAGAGAGCTTCGCAGTGCTCCTGGTTCCCACCACTCTGGACTCCTCTCATGTACACTGTAAGGACCTGGAGGTCATGCTCTGTGACCCTCAAAGTATAGGGCTCTCCAGGACTGGATCTGCTGGAGAGTTCAGCTCTCGGACTTGCCCACATGAGCCTCCAGCAATTTGTCACTGTTCAGGTTTTGCCACCGCTGGTTCCCTGAGGCCTCTAGGCTCAGTTTTGTACTTGCCTGTCTGTCTCCTTTTGGAAGACAGCAAATTGCCCTTTGACCTCACTTTTCAATTTGTTTCAGATTTTTTCTTGTTAGGATAGAATGATAACTCTTGGGTTCCTTACACACCACCTCATGCCCCAAACCAGAAGTTCTGTGAGCCACTTTGTCTAGGTGCCTTCACCACTGGGAGGCTTAGGTGACATTACTGTGACTCCTGCACAAATCAGGCAGAGGAGAATTCCATGGCCTTTCCTCTGGTGCACACCTTTCTTCACTGTATGTTTCCCACTCAGAGTGAAAAGCCCTGGATTCAAACCCTTTACCATCTCAACATACTCTCATAATTCCCTATGAAATTACCAGCCAATCCCTACTTTACGTTTTGAACTCTGATAAGGTGAATCAAATAAAAGCACAAATGTAAAATCACCTTGTAAACAAAAGCAGGGTACATGAGGTTTCTTTGTACACCTGTGTACATATAGTGTTGCTGTGGGCCCCACCTGCTACCTAGTTCCTTTCCCAGGCTACCCTCTGCCAAAAATTTCTTCCTACTAACTTGGTCATAAGTCACACATGAGCCCACTTGCTGTGTAGACAGCAAGTCTTCTAAAGTTAGGTCTAAAACTCCCAAACCTTTATCTTCTTGGGTCAAAATTTATACTTTACATAGTCTAGTATATGTGACTTAATTTGTGTTAATTAATTTAATGGTGTTTCTTGAAAAGTAGGTTTTCATATATCAGTTTTGTTTAAGATCTTATTTCAGTTTTTCTGTCTCACAAGTTCAGAAGTCAGGGATTTAGAAATGCACAGGACTTAAAATTCATTTGACCTAACCAGTTTCTTTTATGATAGGTCAGCTTAGGCCCAAGACATTAGCCAATTTGCCCAAGATCACAGTACCTGCTGGAAGAATTGTGAGGAGTAGTAACTGGACCTCTTCATTGTGATTCTGTCTTTTCCATAACTATGTAATTTTTTTCCTGTCTTTTTGAGACAGGGTCTCCCTGTAGCCCCAGCTGTCCTGGAACTCACCATGTAGACCAGGGTGGCCTTGACCTCACAAAGATCCTCCTGCGTCTGCCTTCCAAGTGCTGGGATTAAAGGTGTGTGCCACCATGCCTGGCATAACTATGTAATTTTTTAAATATGTTTTTATTATTTTTGTTTTATGTGTATGTGTGTATTTGTCTGCACGTATATTAAGTGCACCTGTGTTATACAGTGCCTGTGGAGGACAGAAGAGAGCATTGGATCCCCTAGAACTGATGTCATGGATGGTTGTTAGCCACCATGCGGGTATTGGGAACCAGACCAGGTCCTCTGCAAGAGCAGCCAGTGCTCTTAACCATTGAGCCATCTCTCCATCCCCAACACTATGTACTTTTTAAAACTTATTCTACACATAGATTATGCAGTGAATCTTTTTTACTCTCTTATTTTTAGACCATAGTGGTGGGGAAAACTTTTTTTAAAATACCATTATTATTATTGATGCTGACATGTTATTCCCCCATCTCCATTTTAAAGCTTACATTTTAGGATATGGGAGTGGTTATTACCTCCTTTTATAAAACAACATGGAAGTCTCAAAGGAAACTTGTACAGATAAAGGCCTATGGAAGTAATACCACTCAGAATAGAAAAACAATGTCAAAGAACATTCAGCAGCCATTTTCCAACATAGGCAGGTCTAAGTTGGGATGCTTAAACTATTTTGGAATTGACTGCACAGTTTTCCCCTCTAATAGATCTAAGAAAGGTGAGAGTGGCCGCTCACTGCTCCCCTCACTCCCTCTCTCTCTCCTAGGAGTGAAATGCAAACAGTGGTCGGAGGAGGCCTCGATGGTGTTTCGAAATCACGTGGAGAAAAAACCTCTGGTGGCGCTGGTACAGGCAGTTATTGAACACACTAACCCTTGGGACCGGAAAGTAGTGGTCTATCTAGTAGACACATCACTGCCTGACACAGATACCTGGATTCATGACTTTATGTCACAGTATCTGGTAGAGTTTTCAAAAATTAATTAATTACTGCTTCTGAGATGTTGACAACTAAGGCAGATTGTTTCCTAAGCAATAACAAAATGTAGGGGGGCTTTTAAAACATCTTATTTTTACTACACGGCTCTGACTGTTGTAGAGAATTGAAAAGAATATGCTTTGTTTGATGAAAGATATTTAACAGGTTTTGTTTAACACAGTTGACTTTTCAAGGAAAATTGCCCTTGAATTATTAATATAATATTAGAATAAAATGTTTCTCAATATAAACCCAACTACCTTGTCATCTTTGGACTTTCTGATCTTAAGATGAAAATTTCTTTTTCACAAATGTTGTCTATGTCCCAGTGCTGGGTTCTCTAGCAAATTGAGAACTTTGACATAACTCTGCTCCACTCTAGTGTAAGGATGAGTCTCAAAGCAAGCGACCCAAAGCAGAGGACTTATCGTGAGTCTCTGGCACATCAGCACTGTTAAGGGGCAACAAGGCACACCACTGTACTCCCCACCCAAATATTTTTTTAAAATTTAATTACATTTATTTATTTGTGTGTGTGTGTGCACACGTGTGCGCACACACACACGCACACATGTGGAGGTCAGAAGACAGCTTGCAGGTTGGTTCTGGATCCTTCTCCCAGGTATATCTTGGGGTTCAAACTCAGATCATCAGACTTGGCAGTACATGCCTTTACCCATTGAACCATCTCACCAGCCCTAACCTTAATTCTTCTTTTTAATATTTTATTTATTATTGTTACTTTGTGTATGAGTATATTGTATGTATATATATGTATACCCATGTCATTCAATGCCCGTGGAGGTCAGAAGAGGGCATTGGATTCCCCTGGAATTGGAGTTACAGTTGTTAGCCACTGTATGAGTGCTAGGAATTGAACTCAGGTCCTCTGGCAGGAGCAGCCAGTGCTCTTAACCACTGAGCAATCTCTCCAAGCCCCTCAACCCAAGTCTTGAGTGACTTCTTGTTGCCTAAAGTCCAGACTCAAGACCCAGGCCTTCCACATCTCCCTCCTCAACCTTGTCTTCCACACCTGCATCCAGCCACATGGACCATTATCTGAGCCCTGACTATACTCACTGCATCCAAGACATCTAAGACTACTTAAAACAAGACTTGTTCCCCTATAAATCATGCTTATTCCATTCCCTCAGCCTGGGATTCATTCTCCCACTACCGTTTTATGCAGACCGTGGCCCCTTCCCTGGTGCCCTTTTCTACCCCAGTATTCCTTGTACTTTGTGTTTTTGACTGAAACAAGCTCTTGCTGTGTAGCCCAGCTAGCCTCAAACTTGAGATCCTCCTGCCTCAGCTTCCCAAGTGCTGAGATTATACCAGGCCCAGCTCTGCGTTGTAGTTTGGTCTGCCCTTCCTGATGCCCTCACCTCACTGCACTTCCTAGCACACAGCTAGTTAGTTGTCTGTGTGTCAGTCATCTCAAGGTTGTGAGCTCCTTAAAGGAGACACATCTTATTCTTTTATCGAGTAGACATCATAAATACTTGACATCTACTTCTAGTGAATAGGGAAGTAGCCTTAATTTGTTCTGCCTAACAACGTGCATGCCATCCACACTCCCCCATTGCTGATTTCTGGCTTACCCTTGTGACATCATGGAATATGGAGTTTGGAAGAAGATGCACTTTGGTGGCTCTCATGACCCTGTATAATGGTCATTTCCTGTGTCATTCACATGGACAGCATGACATTTTTCACAGTTTAGCATGTGCTGGCTAATTTGTGGGCAGATGGATTAGCACTTGGATGGATTTTAGGTTTTAGCAATGGTTAAAGATGAGGTGGGGAAGCCCCAGACTAAGTGCAACATTGGGAGCGAAGAATTTTGAAGACATTGAAGTTCTTAATGAGAATTATTAGTACAGACAGCATAGATACAGCATACAAGGGAAGTCAAGTCTAAGGTCAAGAATGATACCCTTTACCCAGTTTGAGTAGAAAATGTAAAGTTTGGCTTGAAACCAGGCATGGTGGCACACCCTTTAATCCTAACATTCCAGAGGCAGAGGCAGGCAGATCTCTGTGAAATAGAGGCCAGCCAGGTCTACACAGTGAGTTGCTGGCCAGCCAGGGCTTCAGGGAGACCCTGTCTCAAAGCAAAAGTTTGGCTTGAACATACTGACTTTGGGCTAGGAGACCTCTGTTGAAGACACTCATGATCTATTGGAAATGTGGAATGGACTTCAGGGGAGGAAACCAGGCTGGTAATAAACATGCTTAACATCATTTGATTTTGAGAAACGTAGGAAAAAAAGTAACAAAGAGAAAAAGACTAGATTTTTAAATGTTTTTCATCTTAAGTATGTATAAATTATCTCTAGGTTTTAAAAATTTATATTTAACATTTTCAACTAAACTGATAAAAATTCCATACTTATACAGGTGATTAAAATAATTAATGATGAAATAAAATTTTTTCCAAAACATAAATGTTTAAATAGATTAAGGCAGTGTTAATGGTGATCCCTTTCTTTAACAAAAAGGGCAGAAATCCACAAAGTATCTGCAACTAAGGAAGAAGTAGTTTCTATTTCATTGGCTTAAGAAATGTTTCCTTTTTAAAAAAAAAAAAAAAAGGCAGTTTTGTTTGTTGGTATAAGTATAAAATTAATGTGTTGCTGAGGTAGTTTGACAAGCAAGAGAATTCTGGCCTCTGCCTTATGTTGTCCAAAGTCAGTTCCAAGTGAATTGGAGACCTTGATGTTAGAAGCTAAGGTGGGAAAGTAGCATAGGACACCTTCATAACCCAGAGTGAGGAACAATCCTAGACAGGACCCATAGCCAGAGACCATATTAAAACTAAGAACAGGTGTTCATCACAAGGCAAAGAAGGTGAGGCACAGAGTGGGAGTGTATTGTTATATTCATTACATAGATACAGTTATATCAGCGTACATGTAACTTGATATGTATATTTATTCAATAAACAAAAAAAGGGCAAAAATAAAGAAAATCCAACTGTCTAATTAAAAGGTGTCAACTTAGATGGGCATGGGGAAATGCTGATCTGAACCTCAGTGAGATGCCATTTCTCCCAGACAGGCTACAGTGTTTCAATCCTTGTCCAATCCAAGTGCTGTTGAAGATGTCAACTGCTGCAGGTACTATACCTCCTCAAGAGTCCAGGCTCCAAGGCTCTAGGCTTCAACTGAGCCAGCACCTTTGAGGCAGAGGCAGGTGGATCTCTGTGAATTTGAGGCTAGCCTGGTCTACAGAGTGAATTACAGGCCAATCAGTGCTACATAGTGAGACCCCGTCTCAATTTTTTTTTTTTAAAAAAAAAAAAAAAAAAAAAAAAAAAAAGAGTCCAGGTTCATCTGTCCTAGAGCTTAGACATACTCTGACCCAGCACTTCCCAAGGCATGTGTGCACCTGTACAGAACCAAGAAAGAATGGTCCCAGCTGAGCCATTTATAATAACCTGAATTGCCATTAATATAGTAAAATGCACTTTAAAAATATCACATATTCATATGGAAATACCACATTTGGAATATTCGTATGGCAAATTCAGAAAATAGAAATTCTGTAACAGTGAGAAAGACTAAACTACAGGGGCATGAAGTATCACAGATGAACCTCAGGGTTGAGCGAGAGGTACATGCTTGAGAGCAAGGACAGGGTGACCAGAAGGGTCAGAAGGAAAGCATCCTGGGAGGGAACTGCGACAGAGGCACAGGCCGGCATCCTCCCTGCTAGTTAGCTTGCACAGGTGTTCTTAAAGTAAAATCATTCACCGGGCTGAAGAGATGGCTCAGTGGCTAAGAGCACTGGCTACTCTTGCAGAGGACCCTGGTTTGATTCCCAGCACCCACATGGCAACAAACTGTCCTTAACTCCAGTTCCAGGGGAATCCGGAGCCCTCTTCTGGCCTCCGTGTCCCAGGTGCGCTCACATATACGCAGGCAATACACTCATACACATAAAAAATAATAATAAAGAATATATATATAATAACAATAATAAATACTTTTTTTTAAAGTAAAATTGTTCATGTGTGTAATCAAATGTTTAGGTCCATCTGAAATAGTAAATTGCTGCTTTATTTTAAAATATATAGCCACATATCCCATGAAAAGAGCATTCTAATAGAGAGCTTTGTAATATGGAAATGCATCTTTGTTTCCAGTGCCAAATGTTTGTCCTTAAGACTCTACAGCTCTGAGTTATTTCTTCCGGGTCTCCCTCACCAAAAACACCTTCGTATAATCAAACCGAGTTGCCTCCCAGTGCCCATTTGGATTCTTTAGTATGAGCCGTTTGTTTATTAAGACACTTAAAATTTCAGTTTGAGGTTAAGTGGCTTGTTCTGGAAAACACATTAGCCTTTTAAGAAAGTGGAGCCTGTGGTTATTTTAAGTGGATATTTGGACACTCCAGTCTCTGAGCTCTGAAAATGCGTTCGATTCAACGTTGGAGTTGCGTGTTCACAAATGATGGCTATTAACGCTTGGGTTAGTTCCAGACCTGGCCGGCCTGCTGCGAAGATGGGACAGGTCGCTGCTTCAAAGCAAGGGAAGGTGCAGCCAGGACAGTGATAAATTTCCTCACCGCAGGAATCACAATCTGCCCACCTTTGCACGGGAACCTCCAACGTGGCTTAAAATACTCCCGGGACGAGTCGGGTGGAAAGGAGCCCTAGGCTCCGAGCGACACTCACTTGGCTGCGATCCCCCCCAGCGGGTGTCGCTCCCGGCCTGGGGACCGCGGTGCGCCCGGCGCCCCCGGTGCGGCGGGAGGGCGGGGAGGTAGCGGGAAGGGCGGAGCGCGGTGACAGCGCAGGGCGGCTACGCCCCCGGCTCCCACCCTCCTCGGCTGCCCGGGAGCTTGTCTAGCCCTGGGTTCTGCTCTCTGCCCGCCGCCCGCGCACACCCCGCCGCCGCCCGCGCCCGCGCCGCCCCGCGTCCGGGTAAGCCCCCTGTCCTCCCGGGGTGCCCCTCGGCCTCGCGGGGCTCCCTGCCGCCGCGCTGGGGCGCAGCCATATCTGGGCAAAATATTCAGCTGTCGCCGCCGCCGGAGAGAAGGGACTGAGCGTGGCTCCCTCTATAAATAGCCACCGACTCGGGTGGCCTTCGGGGCTGCGGGACCCGGGGATCGGGGTCCCCAGCCTGGTCGCCGGCGCTCCTGTCCCGGTAGCCTGGTGCGCGCGGCCCTTGCCGGGGCGCCCTGGGCTCTGGCCCTCGGCACCGGGTCCCGGATCCAGGGAGGGACCCTGCGGAGCCAGTGTGGGCGCCCGCCGCCCCCTGGACTCCGCGCCCGGGCGCCTCGCGGAGCATCGCTACAGCCGGCCGACCGCGCGGCCTCTGCGCTCCAGGGACTTCGGAACCGCGCGGGCGGGTGCAGGGGAAAAGTTTCCCAAAGTGCGGGCGCTGGCCAGGTTTAAAGCACCGCAGCACGCGTGTTCCCAGCCAGGTGGAACAGGAAAAGCTTGTAGGCAGGAAGCCGCCTGCTGCCTCCAGCTCGTGCGGTGGCCTAGGCAAGCCCCCTGCCTTCTCTGGACCTTGGCGTCCCCATTTGTAGGGTTAAGTCGGGGTCCTGAGAGGGGCCCAGGCCGAGTCCTGAGAGCAGCAGGCGAACTCAGAACTGCCGGGTGCTCTCCCCACCTGTTCCCGCGTTCCGGGCCGGGATGCTGTGACACAACTGCGGAAGCCAGAGCCTTTGGTGGCCCTGGGAGCTTGAGTGGTGTCCTCCTAGAACCGAGGTCGGTGCACTCCCAGGAAGCGCGCCCGGGGCGCGTTTTGGCATTTCTGCTGAGTAGCCAGCAACATCTTGGCAAAACAGCAAGTGACCAGATGAGCTGGGCAGACTCAGGGTCCATTCCAGTGTTCCCTGGCCTCAGTCTCCCCAACTGCGCGGCAGGCCCCAGTGACCACCCTTGGAACCGCCGCGGCCTTGCGCCTTCCTCCACCCGGTCCTCTGCCAGTAGGGATCCTCTGCTGTGCTCACCGCCCTCAGTGAGACTCTTGAAGGGCACCTGATCCCAACAGAGCCAAATCCTAAACCCAGGTCCTGGGCCGTCAGGAGTGCACCCCGAGAGCCCATCTTCCTCCCCAGGTCACCGCCATTTTGGTGTCCCTGAAAGGCCTCAGAGCCCCCTGCTCAAGGTCACGGCCCCCCACACACCGGGGCTGCAATCTCATTCGGCTTTCTTGTCCTTTCCTGGCCCTTCCCTGGCTGGTCTAAGGACCCAGCGAGCTCCTCTTTGGTGGTCTGCTGCGGGTCTGGGGCTTTCCCTGGCTAAATAGTGCACTCAACCGGAAGCTACCTGGGTTTTCTCTGAGGCAGTCTCAGAACTTAACAGATAAAGGGATGATGGTGAAATGAAGCCAAATAGTAAGGTTCCCACCAATTTCAAGCCACACAACAAACAGACAGAGGACTACTGTCACTTGAGTGCATTATCTCAAATGAGCTAGTCTCACACAGTCCCACGGTTTAGATGCCTGCCTGTTGGCCTTTGAGTTCTTAGCATCCTAAATGGGAAGCCGGAGTTCTCTAAAAATAGCCTCGCCCCACCTTATCAGCGTCTCACACCTTCTCCCTTGCCCAGGGCTCTTTCCCGCAGCCTAACTCACAGAAAACGGACTAGGTAGTGTCAGTTCTGAGTAAGAAGGGGGATGGGCCTGATCTGGCTCCAGCCCCAGCTCTGCCACCCACCCAGTGTGACCTTAAGCAATAACCTGGCGGACCAGATAGTGTTTAGTGAAGACTAGGTGCAGAGGACTGGGCATCTTCCAGGAAGTCTTCTAGCATGAGAAAAAATGAAGTGCCAGGGAGGAGATCTGGGGTGCCCACCCTGTGAAGAGGACCCAGGAGTGGGGGAAATGTGGCTTTCCAAGAGCCTGGAAGAGAGGTGGGCAATGACAGTTACTGCACAAGGACAGAGTGGTAAGAAATGGAGAGAGGCTGTGGGAATGAGGAGTGGGCATGGGTAACCCAAGTTACAACATAGCAGAGCATTCAAAAACAGGACCTGCCGGTGACCCAGCCTACCTGCACCTTGGTTTCCCCGTCTACAACAAAAATAACAATAGCAGCCACTTTATTCAGGCCTCAGTGAGGACTGGTACTGGGCAAGCCCAGAGCCTAGAGCCAACCCTCACAAAGATGCTGGTAATGTGAGTGAGGGGCAGAGGCAGGAACCGAAGTAGAGACAGCTTCCTACTCTTTGTCAGAGCTTAGATGAGAAAAGAGCTAAGGAGGCCTGGGGACAGGGCAGAGGGGAGGCCTGTGTTTATGGGATGGAGATTCTGATAAGAGGTAAAGGAAAAGCCAGGGGAGACCACAGAGTTTAAGAGAATCTGTGGACTGTGCCCACGGCAGGATTGAGGTCCTTCCTTGATGACCTGCCACATGTCACAGACTCTGCATGTGGCTTTCAACTTTTGGGACTTGGCTGAAGCAAAAAGGGGTAAAATGAAGCAGGTCAAGGTTTGAGGACCCAGGTCCCCTGACCAACTTTAATATTCGCAAAGAATGATGGTGATGAGCCATGAAGGGTAGTTTGACCCTGCCTGGGGGCCTTGTGACCCTAGCTTGCTTATTTCTGAAATGATGTCATCTATTGATGACGTCTGCTGAGCCTAGTCGCAGGGCTTCTTCCAGTCAGTGTTTTGATTTTTCACTCTTACTAATGGACCAGTCCAGGCTGCCAACATCTCTATAAAGAGGCCATTTCCCTTCAGGCCAGTGCACCAGCTAGATCAATTATCTGGCTGCTAGGAGCCATTATCAATTTAAAGCTGGGGGCCTGCTTCTTTGGAATAACATGAATTAGATTGCACAGTGCTAAGGCCATCTCTCTTTCCTTTTGTTTTGTGAAATCGTCTTGATTTATTATGATAGCAATTAACTTTTGGTTGTTCTCAATGATAGTGAAAGAATGAGCTCATTGGAGTCAACCTAGGACATGGTCTAGAGTCTTCAGAGTTAGAAGGTGCTGGGTTCTTGTCTGATAGGAAAACTAAACAAATTCCCTTGTTTCTTCCTTATGTCTTTTTATGAAGAGGAGCTTTGGGAAAGAGCTCCATATTATAGAAAAAGGAAAGGGGGGAAGGAGACACGTCTGAGGCCCGTGTCGCTGTCTTGTTCATCCTCCCAGGGTCCTCAGATACCCTTTGCTCTGGGGATATTAGGGTGGTACCTCAGAACTGTACCTAGAGATGACTGTGGTGGGTGGTGGCCATGGTCATTGGACACATGGTCCCATGCCTAAAGGGGCCAAGGAAAGCAGAGGTGCCTCGTGGCCTCACTCTGGTGGACCCATCTTTTTGCCGGCCCTTCCTATGCTGTTGACTATTTCTAATGTCCCATGCCATCTCAGTCCCCTTTACCCATCCCACAACTCTCAAGTTCTTGTGTCTAGCCTGGCCTACTCTCCTCACCCCAAAGACAATTGTGGCTTCTACCTTTTGAACAAAGCCAGTAGTGGATCCCAAAGGTGTTTCAGCCTCAACAGGCTCAGCTTCAGGCTTTCCTGTCAGTCCTCTTCCTATGTTCTCATCTTGCTTACCAGTCACACCATCTGCCCAGGCACCAAACCGGAATCTCCCTTGCAGTCACCCAGTGCTGTTAATTCTACCTTCCTCAATGCCTCCTCTCCATCCTTATGCCCACACGCACCGCTCCAGTCAAGGATTTACTCATTTCTTCTCTAAGCTATTATTGGAGCCTCTTAAAAATTGGTGGTAACACCTGCCCTCTTGATCAAGAAGGCCATGAAGACCCCACCAGATGGACTTGAACCAGTGTCCAGTCTACAAAGAGGAGGGTCAACACAGAGGAAACATTTCCTCCATGCTTCCAAGCAAAGCCAGCCATGGTCGAGCAGGACCTTTGACTTTTCTTCACATAGACGGAACTGGTAAAAGAAAGGAGCCAGGGCCTCCTCCCAAGCCCATGTAACCCCTGAGGAACAGATCCTCAAAT